TTCTTCATTACAAAATTATATCATCGGCATACCAATTTGAGTGAACTCAATTGCACAATGACAACAGGATTGTGATCTCACTTATCCTCCAATTTCTAAGGCAGCTCTGGGAATTGAACCTGTGTCTGTGGAGCCCTTGTCTTCAACCATTAGGTCACCACACACCACCCCATGTCACAGAAAACGGAATAAAGTTACAGCTTCCTGCATAATGCAGGAATGCCCATTCTTGTGTTTTGTTAAGTACGTTTTTTGAGACGACACCATTATATATTATGTCGAGTTCAATTACCATCCTGACTAAAATGAGAGCATCTTATATCCTCTTCTATGATGTCATCTAACATATAATTCTTTTTGAGGGATTCAACTGAGACATTGATTTTGATTTGGCTGTAAGGTCTAAAGGGGGTTTTGTGGTGTAAATGATGTGATTAAACCTACTTTTATGAAATGTCATGAAACGTATGAAACAAGAAGACAAGACATTTCAAAGACTGTTTCCCTTTCCCCCCAATTTTTAAAATAGTCACGTTCGCAAAGACCCGCCTCTCACTTAGTTACTATGTACTGTACGCCGCTCTCGCGCCACACGCAGGGAAAAATACATTGCGGTCGGAGCAGAGAGGAGACTGACACGCTCGCTGACAGATAGTACTAGGTTAATTTTCGGTAACTTTTGATATTAAACATATTAAAGTCTCACCTTTCAATTTTGGTAATTTTTTAAAAAGAAATTTAAATAATAAATACCGTGGCTCTTTAATGTGTCGTGACAGATCGTTGTAGAGCACCAGTTAAAGCTGCTTGTGAACCGATCTTTTCCTTCTAGTTAATTTATAGCATCAAATAAACAAGAGTGAACATAAGAAGGAATGTTGTTTTAACCGCGGATAGACGTCAGTACACACTTTTTTTTCCAAGTTCAAATCCCATGTTAAACTACTAACTCACCTGACTGCTTTGTCGGACAAAATGGCAGATTGCGAAGTATGATTGGTCAGATCACCTGTCAATCAAGCTCCAATCAAGACAATTGTGGCTTTTGCAAGTCAAAACTTGGCAGTATGGGGGGAGAGAGCTTTTTCTAGATCTGAATATATCCTTAAGTGCAAGATAATGTCATCAAAAATGTTTCCTGGAAGAGAAAGACTGAACGTTTTAAATCAACTTCCCCACATTTAGCAGGCATTTTCTTTTCAAAATTATTTCTATATAAAAAAACCCTATCTCTTGCTCTTGACAGTTTCTAACAAGATCTCTGAGGATTTGACAGATTTGCATCATTATGTGGTTTATGTAATGAGAGAGATAGACACCCTGCAGTACGGGCTCAACCCTGATGGGATGAAAACAAAGTCATCTCTCACAATCAGGACTGGAATATATCATCAACATGTCTGTCAGCAGAGTATATAACCCAGTGATGCTATAAATACAGCCCATATGCCCTGTGGTTGCGACGTTCCAGTGTTTCACACACTAATGTGGGGGTATGGGGTGAAGAGCGCTCTAACTCTCTTCTCCCATTACAGTGGTGCTGTAACAGATAGGGAATGTCAGCGCCTTGTGAGATGTGTGAATGTGGGATGTCTTCTCCTCCAGGCATGTGTAATTCGTGCTGGGTTGGGACAAAAGCGGAGAGAATGAGAACAGGGCCTTGATCCATTGGTGGTTAACCGTAGCTTAATGAGGGGGAAAAACAGTGACGCAACCTTCAACTCAGATGTCACAAAGCTCTAAGAAGCACTTGAATGGCCACAGCAGGACTAATTTTAACATGGTTTGCATGATCAGAGACAGACATGCTGACACCGTGACTGAAGAATCTTAGCGAGAGATTTGATACCACTGTGAAACACTATGACCAATACAGACAGTTTAAAGAGGCAAATGGTTTTCTTTGATAATGCTTTCCTGGATATTACTTGATAAGGGTTGTATTACATCCCTAAATTAAAAATGCTGAACTAAGTTTAATTGTATATATATTAAATAAAGTCCCCATGTGGTGAAGATCAAGCTTTTACTGTTGTGTTATATGTGGTGTTTTTAATATGATTTAAGTCAACACCATTGCTGAGTATTTTCTTCATAAAACTGCCAAAGACCGTCTCAAAAACAAAGTTTGAAATCGCTGGTGTTTCTGATGTCACAAACTACCTTGTAACCAATCACATCAACGTGTGATCGTCATGAGTGGATCTCTGAGCTATTGTGAGAGTGAGTGGAGGTGGGGCTAATCTGCATATTCATAGAACCGCGAATACTAAATGAGACAAGGGTGCAGATTCAAAGGAGAAAATGTTTAAACGTAATTTTAGTGATTAAAGGTGAGTTGTAGGGGTTAACATGATTGACTACAGGGGGACTTTAATAATTTACATAATTCCCCCAAATTCCCATTACTGTAAAATATCCAGATGTTTTACTTTAGCTTTTTTTGTCATTTCCAATTTTCTTAATGTTGATTCCCATACATGATTTCCATAGTGAAGATTAAATTTCAATTGTTTAAACTAACTTGTGAATTTGAATGACCATTAACTATTACTATGATGTATATATTCATTTTAAATAATATAAATAACTGTTTTTTTTTTGTTTTTGTTGCCTTACAGCAATGAGAATGAGTTTTTAGCGCTCTGCAACAGGTGTGGAAATGCCAAACACCTGGAAGAAAAAGGAAAAGGCGAACCCAGTACCAAACTTGAACTAAACTCATATTAGTAATAGTGGAGTTAGCTACACAAAGACTAAAATGTAAGGGTAAGGTTCAGCAAGACCAAGAATGCTATTATGTCCAAAAGATGAACATGGTGGCATTGCAATATAATACAATTTAAAAAGGGGTCGGTTCAAACCAGTTGGATTCTGAATACTTCTTGTTTTCCAAAAGGATCTGACCAGTGCATTAAAATCAGCATTACTCACAGCGGTCAGGCCCCCTCAGAGTCCCTCAGGGGAAGAGGTGTGCCCGTCACCAGTCAGTATTTGTTAGCAGATTGTTAAAAGCGATCACTACGATGTGATCTCTAAGCACAGAGTAATATGAGTCAAACCAAGGGGGCATCTGGTTCTGGTTAGTACTTTGGAAATCTGATTAAAGGAAAAATTTCCATGCACATTGAGAAGTATTCAGTGTAATTACCGAGAACAGCTTAGGCAGATCAGACCACAAATGACAAAACATGAAACCAATGTTGTGGTTCGCTCCTCTGTTAAATATGAGACACAAAAATAGCTGGGAAGGGAAGTAGGTCTCAAGTGAACAAATTGAGGTGGATGGAGGGGGGGGTAGGTTTTATGTGGGGTGGGGCAGGGTTTCTTCAAAGTTAATGGGGTATTATGTTCCTTTCCTGTTCAAAATCTTCAGACTTCAGTGGAATAAAACGTTAATGCAGTGCCAAAAAGCTCTTCTCAATGTCATGAGCTTTGATAAACTGTAGCTACAACATGAACAGCCAAGCCAAGAAACTGAATGAAACCACAATGACCACAGTCAGTTCATAGAAGAAGAAAAAAAGCAGGTCTGTGCAAGCGTGAGGCTCAGCCAAACCTCAGTGTAGACAATAAATCGTATTAGCACAAATAAAAGCCTTGATGGATGACTGCGTTGAGGTCAATGTTTAACAACAAGTCTCTCATTTTTTCTTTCGAGTGCTAAAATCAAAACCATATGTAGAGTCTGTATATTGGGGTTTATTGCAAGGTCTCTTCTGGGAAAAAAATGCACAACTGAGAAAATCTTTTTTTTCTTTTCGCCAAGACCAAGGGATAGATTTCATTAAGTAGCCTACAGCAGCGTCTTTCCACTTTACAGATGTCCATTCTTTCGCCTTATTAATACAAACCAGTTAGTAACACTTAATAAAATGATTTTTCAGGACATTAGAGATGGCTATGGACAGGATCTACCATGCAGAGAGGGGTCTCCGTTGTCGTTTTTTTTTTTTTTTTTGCACTAACTAACATACAAGTAAGGCTTGGACTTATCTTGATAATGATCTAATCAGAATAAAAAATAAATCCCAGCGGGGCTGCCAAGAGAAACAAACAGAAGGAAAAGGATGAGAAACAAGCGGCTGCAATTAAAAACGTCCCGCGAATAAATAGCTTTTTTTTTTAAAGCTAAGAATGACGATGAGGAGGTGACCACCGTTAACCCTGGCCTCTAACGTTACCGCCAACGCTTAGCCTCAGCTAGTAAAGTTATTTAGATGTGGGTAACGTTAACGTTAACTCGAGTAGGCCTACCTTTCAGATGAAAAAAACCGTACTTTTACCTTGTTAGGTTGGGCGACGTTCCTCTGGTTGGTTATTTGTTAAATGCGTGGTTAGGGCTTGGGCGTCGTGACGTCATTACTGCCGTGGCGGCCATGTTGACAGCTTCGCGCATGTAAACCAAACATACAGCAAGCAAGTCGAACTAAGAGAAGCAGCAAAGTTGAGAGAAAGAAATGAAAAAAGATGTTAAAATCCCTAAAGGTTGTGGAATTTACCGGGATAAGTTAAATAGGGAAGCCAGTGACCGGTATGTTAAATAAGGAAGCCAGTGACAGGTAGTTATAAAGCATTTAGTAGTGTGGTCAGTTCATCTTTCTAAATCATTTATATTTACTGTTTAATGCTTAACTAATAATTAGTAGTGCAGATATTATAAAGTGTTACCGCCCTATCTGACTATAAGTCACTAATAACCACATAATTCCAAGTTTATTCCGGAAACAAACTTCCATAGCCTACTACTCACCACTACATTCATTCTCACAGCAAAATATCTACCCTAGGGAACACAAAAATCCCCTAGCATTTTCATTCAAAGGCAACCGTGTGTACAGAACACAAGAGGGCAGTCTAAGCACAGCGTGCAGGTTTGTAAAAGGTCTGATTGCAACTATTTGGATACAAACATTCTTCAAAATCTACTAATATGTACAAAAAAAAAACACAAATATACACAATAAACAAAGAAGACAAAATATGCGTTGAGATTTTTAAAAAAAAATTTATTTCAACATGTTTAATGTTTAGTTTAATTGTAGTTTGTTACAAAGAGCCACAGTTAATTTGCACAAGACATTGTTTAGTGAAAGGGGGACATAAATAAACCTAAATTACACCAAATTTGATTCTGTTTTCTGTTAAAGAACTAGTGATTAATACCATGTCTACACCAGACACAATCAGTTTAGGACAGGTATACTAAGTTTAATGTGAGGGTGGTGTGTTTGGACCTTCTAGCTCCACCGATTAGGTCCAGAAAGCTGGACCTCAATGGAATTGCAATAGTCCCTTTGTCGTGTCGTGTAGACACAGACACAGTGTATGTCTACATTTACTCTACATTTCAAAAGTTTAGGGTCAGCAATGTATTTTTTACAGAAATATATGAACACTTTTATTCAGTAACAATATATTAATGGTAGGGTTGGCAGTTTTCAGAGAGGCTGGCAATAGCAAGCTAGCTTTGAAAGCATGAGATCCCACCCTCCCTTCAGAGCGTCTACAAAGCCACACCTTCAAAACAACATGAACGCGTACAGCAGGTAGCAAAGCTCCATGGTTAAATCACCTCATGTCACAAAGCACATTACATTACAATAATAAACATAAACAACTTAAACAGCACTAATAGTGTCATTTAAAAGCATAAATTAGAGTCACAACCCACTCCAAGTATAACGTCACAGTTTCCATTTCTTCCAAATTACAGTAGTTATGGCGTGAACATAGCATGAGCTCATTGTTTTGGAAAAGGCAGCTGCGGTTTCTGTTGTGGTGCTCTACTGACGTCTGTCTAATTCTGCATAGCATGAGACGCTCTGATGATGTGTGATGTCTGTACGATCTATGGAAATATACAGTAGCTAGACAGGCAGATAGTACATCGGACCGAGTGCAATGATTGGATAAACATTTTATGGTTCTACGCCTTCCACAGACAATATACATATAAATGCATTTAGACCACTTAACTTAGTCTTAGTGTATGCTATCAGGATGTGAAGAGACTTTCAACCAGCATAACACATAGTTTCTGGAACTAATCGCTTACCTTTCCTTTAAATTGATCAAATGTGACGGTAAAGACATTTAGAATGCTATTTCTATTCATTAAAGAATCATGAAAAACATGTATCACGCTTTCCACAAAAACATTAAGCAGCACAACTTTTTTCAACACTGACAATAATAAGAAATGTTTCTTCAAATCAGCATATTGGAATGATTTCTGAAGGATCACGAGACACTGAAGACTGGAGTTAATGATGCTGATAATTCAGCAGTGCCATTACAGAATAATTATGATGACATGTTTAAATAGAAAGCAGTTATTTTAAATTGTAACAACATTTCACTATTGATCAAATAAAGGCAGCCATGGTTAACATATGAAACATCTTTCAAAAACATGACAAAATCTTACCAACCCCAAACTTTTGAACAGTAAAGTCTATACATATGGATATGCACATGAACGCTCAGCACTCTCTCATCTTGGCAATCTGAAGCAGAGCCACTCTGGCCTCTTCGTCCATAAAACCCTGCAAAAGAAGACCACAGCTTCTAGAACATAAACACTGAAATTTTCATTGATTTACTTTGAAAATAAGAAAATATACATCATAAAATAATAAAATGTTACCTGTGCTGCACTGAGCAACCGTGTTCGGTATATTGAAAGCACATGTCTGTAATGCTTTTCCGAGTTCTGGTAATAAAAGTAAGAGAGCAAGTTCATAATGCATTGGTTATCACACCAGTTACAACAGAAAAATTATTAATACTGAACACAAATGCTTTTACTGTAATCCAGTTGTACATTTCTAAATTAAATGTATAATTTAGAAATGTACAATACATGTCAAAGTGCTGGATTACAGTAAAGGCATTAGGGTTTAAGTATTAATTTATTGTTTATGGCATTAAGATGTCTCCTGAGAATGACTACTCAGTGGGAGTGCAAAAATTGCTTCTGTGAAGTTGGACTGTGTATGAGGAGTGGAAATGACACATCAGTTTCATTTTTCCTTACTACTCCCAGTTCTCTCCAACAGTCAGCAACAGCATGACTCAACTCAAGATCCAGTCTCCTCTTATAGGCCCCCTATGACATGGTCTATTTCCAGTGCTAAAACTGGAAAAGTACATTTACACATGGACTGTACTTTTGCCTTTACTCCATATCTCAGAGTCATATATTGGACTTTTTACTCCACTACACTTGTTTGCCAGCTTTAAGGCCCATGCACACTTTATTTTCAGTGTTCTGAGTGCAAAAGCCTTTCAAAGTATATACTCGTTTGGCTGTGAGTGAAAAAATAAGTGTTCTGCGTATGCACACTATCTAGTGGACTTTGTTTTCAAGTCACTCGCACGTGCTGTTGTACACCAACCGTCCACATGGACCCAAGAATTGGGCTGCACACAAATGTTCGCAGACCCTACTGATGGTGAAAACTCTGAAAACTATGTCATGTGGACAGTTCACGGGCAACCAGCTGAAGTATACTTTGGGCTTTGGTTACTACAGTTCTCAGTGTACAGCTTTTCATACCACTTCTGTCCAGTGAGAACCTTTGTGGCGGCGAAATCCCATTGTGTCTCTCTTTTTTAACAACTCTGCCTATACTAAAGAATCCTATCAAAATCCAATTTGCACTAAAAGCACTGACCTCTCAAGTCAAACAAAGCTTAAACAAAGCAGACTCTCAAAAACAGCCCTAAAGAATAGAGCGAGCTGTGCGTAACTAACCTCCAGCTGCTGTTGTAGGCTGTAGACCTGAGCCTGGAGGGAGCTGTCTGATTGTGATGGTTCACAGGAGCCGACGGGTTCTGATATGTTGACCTGAGCCAACCTCTGTCCCTCATGCTTCACTGATGACTGAGATAGAGAACACATGTAATCAGATTTTTACAATTTCTTTAAGCTATTTGCTGATATTAGAGATATTTCATGCTCATTTCCCATATTTTTATATTTTGATTACCTTCGCCATCTAATGTTGATTTTAAAGTTGATTTAAAAAAAAAATATTAACAATTTGATTACACTTAAATATAATGTAATCTATGGCAAATTTCAAAATGAATATAATTATTTTATACTGTGTACATTATAATGTTGTGATGCCTGTGATGACTAATTTTTGTGTTTAGTTTTTGTTTCTTAATTTATTTAGACAAAAGGGTATAGAATTTGAATATCGGCCATTTATCAATCATTTTAATTCATTCGAATTTTAGTATTGGTGCATTCCAAAGCATTTAAATAATATGCTTGTAAAGGACAAAATTATACATCAAACGTTTATTAATAGAATCTGCAATGATATCTGGATTTTGGGACAATCTCAATGCATTGATGAACTGTGAGAAAAATAATTGTCATGAGTATATAATCATTAACCTTGATAACTTGATCTGGTGATGTCCTCTCCTGGTCCTCAGTTGCGCTACTTTTACCTTCTTCAATTCTAGTGACTTCACATTCTGCTCTGTTACTCCCCGTAGAAGATACTTGGTTATGCTGTACTTCACTTGCGCATGGCTGCCTGTGTTCTTCTGTCTGGACACCCTCCTCTTTTGAGTTTGAGATGCTCACACTGGCCTGGTGTTGTCTCTTCTCCATCTCTTCAAGAGCTAGTTTGAGTCGTTCCACCTCTTTCTCCTTTTCCTCCACTAAGACAACAGGAGCAAACTTGGACTTCAGAGCCTCCTGGATTGTGTCCAGCTCTGTCTTTTGCTCTTGAAGTTCTCTCAGAAGGCTCTGGTTCTCTTCCTGGACGCACTGGTACTTCTGTAGAGCCTCGTCAGCTTTGGTTTCAGCATTTTGCAGTGCATTGTTCAGTGAGCTAGTTATGACTGTGTGCTCACCCTTGCTGATGTAGTTCTCCAGATCTACGGTTGGTTCGCTGGTTTCCGTGATGAGGTCAGTCGTGGTGCTCTTCGCATGTGTCGGGCACCATTCTGATGGGGTCTGAGCTTCTTTACACAACGTCTCAGCCTGCTGTGTCTCCATTCCTGCTAGCCTCGTCTTCAGTGTGTTTATTTGCTCTTCTCTGCTGAGAAGCTCCTGGGAAAGCCGGCTAAGTTCCTGCATCAAGGAGCCCTGGTTCTGCTTCTGCTGCTCTACCTCCCTCCTGCTCTGGCCGAGCTCCTTCTGCATTCTCCCCAGTTCGACTACGGCTGCCTCCCGCTGACCTTTGACTTCTTGAAGCTGGACTCTCAGCTCTTCCACCAAGTGCTCCCTGACGGCTACGAGATGAGCTTGCATCTGTCTCACTCGGGATTCTGAGCCGGCCATCCTTCTTTGCACCTCAGCCAAGGCCTCCTCCAGCTCCCATGACCGGTTATGGGACGCATGCAGAGCTTGTTCGCTGCTCCTCCTCAGACCTTCGTATTCCTGACAGCGCAGAACCAGTTCCGCGTCCAGCCTGTGCACCTCCGCCTCTGCTACTTCTTGCCTCCTCCGTGCATCTCGTAGTTCTCTCCTAAGGGCCTCCACCTCACCGGGCAATAACTCCATCGGAGTAGATCTCACCGGCACAGGAGCTGAATGTGCAGGCCTGACCTGAATAATTGACAAGGGTAATGTTGAACTAAGAAATACTCTTTCGTTTGTCTATTTTAGGTCAACTGCTGTAATGTTTCAGTTTGATGAGAATGGGATATAAATTAAGTCTAATATCAAGTGAAATTATAACTCTTTAATCTCTATATTCTGTCAGAAAAAAAGTCACATTATACAAATGATATTGCTTGGTTGACTGCATTATATATATATATATATATATATATATAATGGAAAGTTAATGGAAAGTTTAATTTAACTGCCTGATAGATAACTGCAAGATATCAAGGTCACATACATCTTTCTTTTTTAGCAAAACACTAACAATTGATTGACTGATTGATTGATTAATCGATTTTGTGGTGAAGATTAGATCACTTTTAAAAAAAACTTTTGTGGATAATTTACTCACCCCCATGTCATCCAAGATGTCCATGTCTTTCTTTCTTCAGTCGAAAAGAAATTAAGGTTTTTGATGAAAACATTCCAGGATTTTTCTCCTTATAATGGAGATATATAGTAATATAATACTGGGCACCAAACGGTTCAAGGTCCAAAAGACACTTTCAGTGCAAACTGCAAACTGTTCAAAGGGTTTTAAACGATTCCAGACAATGAATAAGGGTCTTATCAAACAAAACGATCGCTCATTTAAAAAAAATTTTTTTTTTTAACAAGTTTAAGAAGCTCAAATGCTCACCTTGCTCTGTTCTGTGATGCGCGTTTGTGACTCTCCTGTTCAAACTCGTTCATCAAAATGAACAAATCTTTTTTCAAGTCATTTGGTTGATTCAACAAACGAAATGAACGAATTGACTCGGAAAAAGATTAGTTCATTTTGATGAACAAGTTTGAACAGGATAGGCACACAGAACAGAGCAAGGCGAGCATTTGAGCTTATAAAACTTAAACTTTGTTGTTTTTTTTTTTTAAATGAACGATCGTTTCGCTTGATAAGACCCTTATTCGTCGTCTGGAATCGTTTAAAGCCCTTTAATCAGTTTGCAGTTTGCACTGAAACTGTCTTTTGGACTTTGAACCGTTTGGTGCCCAGTAAAGTGCATTATATGGAGAAAAATCCTGGAATGTTTTCATCAAAAACCTTCTTTTCCTGCATTTCTTTTTGACTGAAGAAAGAAAGACATGGACATCTTGGATGACATGGGGGTGAGTAAATTAACAGCAAAAGTTTTTTTTTTTTAAAGTGAACTACTCCTTTAATGTCAAATTTAATTTAAATGGCGGATAAAAGGACACAGTGTGAGCAAGATATACAGATCACATACTTCAAAAATAAGGCGTTAACTAAACCTAAAAATACTTAATGACACTGTCATAAAACTCTTCAGACACAAATCAGGTTAGTCAGGTTAGGCGGGATACCTGTGTAGAATCCAGATTATGACCTTGTTTGGCACCTTTTCCTTCAGGAAGCAGAAAGTATGTTTAAAATATCAGAGCCCAGACCTGGAAAACTTTTGTGATATGACCGATTGCAATCCTGATGTTCTGCCATTATATATAAACACATTCCAAGTTACCTTCAGTGGAGTGACTGCCATGTTCCTTCTGTAATTCAGAAAAAACCCTTTATTGATGACAATCACAACTGACCACAATCAGCTACAGCAGAGCAAAATGCAGACTTCAAATGTCAATCAAATGCCATTCTCTAAAGAAACTCACTGTTAGTGGCTCCGACAAAGCTTTCTCCGTCTTTACTGATCCTGCTTTGGTCCAGGGTTTAGCCTGTGCCTTCAGAAAGAAAAACGAAATTCGTTCAATTCTAAATCAAAAATCTCTGATGACATGGTCTTTAGATAGAAAAAAAAATCTATATTTCCATAATAAATTCTCTAACAATTCTTTAATAATAAATGCATCTCCCTACAGTGAATAATTGAACCATATCCCGAAGGCTGTATCTATAATAGATGTGTTAGAAGTAAGAAACTATAGATTTACACATGTATGGCTGAAATCTTCACATGAGCATGAGAATCAGTATTCATCTCCATCGACAGCTGCAGAAGAACATTGAATTTCATCCAACTGATTTCCATCATTGCAGATATGGACATACACAGCACACCATCATCATTCTCAAGTAACTGCGGAGTTCTCTAATTAAAGTGCACTGCGATTAGCATTTAAGACTCTAGATGGCAGTAAGATCAATAAATAGAGGAAGTTCACTTGAATGCAACAAACTCATGACCTGCTGTTACCTTACTACCTTTCCTGACTTGGATTACAAATTCTTGAACTTGACTGTGAATACGAATTAAATTGTCAGCAAAGAGTCAGTGTTACCTGTTGAATCTTCTGTGAAACATTGGCAGTCTCTTTGGCTGAAAACAAATTGGGAGGGGAGGATGTTATAGCACATGATATTTCCATTCCTAATACACATTTCAGACAAGCATTTTAACCCTTTACCCCTTTTGATAATTGACATTAAAATGCACTATACAAACTTAAATGGCTGTAATTCAAGAATGCTTTGCAATATAGACCAAAGTCTTGTTTTAAAGAAAACAATCAACAGATTATTACTGAAGTAAAAGCATTCAAAAATATTTTACAAAATTACTATCTAACCAAGTTGTGTTCCAAATTTAAAGTTGATATCACAAAAATTGAAGTTCCCATGAGATTTTGTTTAGGCGTTATACCAAAAATAGCCACCGGGTGCTATTGAATTCCATTGAATTTAATTGAATGCATTCTGCCATAACAAATTAATACATTTCTATCCAAATATCCCTTCTGTCACTAAATATGGAACATTGAGACTCAGGCCTTTCTTAAAATATGTGTTTTGTCAAGATTAGAAAAGGTTTTGATACTAAATTATGAAAGATGATGCCCAAAAGGGTAGGGGCCTAATAAAAAAAAAAATACAGTTTCTATGGTAATGCAAAGTCCAATTTCAAAACGGTTTTCACAAGATGAATTCTGAGTTCATACTGTAAGCTTTCAGTTGATACCTAATTTATGATAACTACTAAAATATGTGATATAATAATATATAATAATAATATAATTATATATAAAATAATAAATACATTTATTAAATAATTTATTAAATAATAATTATTATTATTATTTATTAAATTAATTAATAAATATACTATATATATATATATATATATATATATATATATATATATAATATATTATAGATTATACTTTTTAGTTTTTAGAGGACTTCTTCTCTTACTTTTTAAAATATATTTTTATAGTTGACAATGATATATAGTTTTCATGACTAGATTAGGATTTAATAGTAATATAGTGAAGTACATTTAGGTTGCCAGCATACGGGCAAGTGACAGAATGTGCTTTGATTTGCATGTCAATCACTTTATTAACTAATTGTTGCATTTTAACTGTTACATTTAATTTTAATCTGGTGATATGACAGATAGTACATGAAAAGCATCTTTCAGGGACCCAAATGATCTTCTAACAATAAGAGGCTGGTTTGCTTGGAATAAGCCTCTCTCTTTAAATAAGAAATTCAGACTGGTCCACTAGAAATGGATGCTCTTAGTGTTAGAATCTGTGAAGTCTATGAGAGCACAGCTGGATGTGAATCTTTCAGACACTTCTCTTAAATTACATGACATTACCCAGTAATGACAGTGTGATGGTTGATATGGGATCTAAATTTAAAACTTGACTGATTCGCTGCCTGCATGAGCAGGTGCAGCAATTTCTACATGTAATGATAACAAGACTGTCACTTTGCACTGCCTTGCTGGAAAAAAAGCACTGCTGGTCACAAGATGAGATGACATGGTGTTATATTACCTTTAGTGGTTGTTTCCAAGGCATGTTGTACAAGAGTGATCAAGTCTTGATTCTGACTTAGTTTGGCATAGTGGTAAGCATCATGGCCATAAATGTCCACAGCAGAAACATCAGCCTTAGTCTTCAGGAGAATCTCCACCACTTCTTTACAGGAGTTCTCACAAGCTAATATTAGCGCAGTCCTAGACAGAAAAACAGAAGATAGAAACAACACTCTAAAAAATGCTGGGTTGTTTTAACCCAAAATTGGGTATAATATGGACAAACCCAAATGTTAAAATTTTAAACCAACATTCAACTGTACATTTTTTTAATTTATCTGTACATTTACTTTTATGAATATTTGACTTTTGGATCATTACTAATGCTCAAAAGAAAATAAGGTAATTAAAATGCTTTCCCTTACTTGCTTTGCTTGTCTCGAAGAACAGTGCGAGCTCCATATTGCACAAGCAACTGGCATGCTCTTGGTTGGCTCATCTTGGCAGCAAGCAACAAAGGTGAACTACCATCCTGAAAAGGGTACATAAAATCAATATAAAATCTCACAATGCTTCTTATATATATACAGTGAGCAAAATTAATTGTTCTTTCAAAACCATTTTACTTACTGCATCAGTAGCATCAATAAATGCACCGCTGTCAAACAGCATTTTGATGGCGGCTTTACAGCCTGCATTTGCTGAAAAACAATAACAAGACAAGACGTTATACTTTTCCAATCAACTCTGACAGCTAGACATTATAACAGTCCTTGATGCATCCTCATGCAGCAGTTGAAGAATCCATAACAGATCTGCCTGAAAAGAATGATGATAATAAATCTAACACACACCCAAAATGCATATGAGCATGCAACACCCAAAATAGCGGTATGTCCTTCATTGAGCTTAACAACAAGCAAGCGTGTCTGGTGTTGATGTCGTGCAAGGTCGAAAATGTCAAAAACAATGCCCGCAAAATTCAAGATATGAATTGCCTTGAATGAGTTCTTGTATTTTGGGTTTATAACATAATAGTTCATCAATATAACATGAGCAAGAGTGCCATTTTCATGAATATCAGCATGATTACAAATATTACATTTATTTTATACAACAGTTCAATAAATGAATTGACAATTTTGAGACACATCATTGTAAATTTTGACTGCTTTTGCTCTATTTAGCATGACATCATGACTTTTGGGTAAACATACACAGAACTTTCAAGTCAAGTGGGGTGTTATCTATTTGTATTTTGAGCTACGCCGTTAAAGGTCCGAGTGATTCCGTGTGTGTGTGTGTGTATACACACCGTTAAATGTCCGAGCGAAATGAAGATCTACATCTGGGGAGCGATATTTTTTTCCCTAGGATGGCAGGGGAAGACTCATAAATGCTATTAACCCCACTGACGGGTATGTTTAGGGACGGGGTTGAGGTAGTTCATATTTACTATGTAACGTTAAGTCAACGGTGTTCATAAACACGCTGAAAAGCGATTATGCGTGTTGATAGCACACCAAAAATTGAAATACGAATTGGCATGTCATACATATACACCATTTCATGAGATCAGTCTGTTCCAAGCAGAAATGCAAGGTCTCCCAGAAACACACAGCAAGGTTTCGTTCTTAAAGGGATAGTTCACCCAAAACGTTAAATTCTGTCATAATTTCCTCAGCCTCAAGTTTTTCCAAACCTGTATGAGTTTCTTTCATCTGTTAAATGGTGGTAACCAGACAGTCTACAGTAGCCATTGACTGCCATAGTAGGAAAATAAATACTATGGAAGTCAGTGGCTACTGTGAACTGTTTGGTTACCAACATTTTTTAAATGAAACATTGCTGTCGAATACTCAGTGAAACAAAAGCAAATGTTGAATGAAAAAATGGGGGATGGGGGCTGGGGGGGTTGGCGGGATTACGAACATTTTAAATGGACTTTATTTTAATTTTTTTGCGTTTTTGCCTTTTATCGGATAGTAGCTAGACAGGAAGTGAGGGTAAGGTCCACGAGCCGGGACTCGAACTCAGGTCACCCAAAGCGCAACAACGCTACATGTCAGCGCACTTGCTCACAAGGCTATCGGTGCAGACTTTAAATGGAATATTAATAAAATAAATAGAAATAGAATTTAAAAAAGAAAAATCCACACACCTGCATCATGCAAAGCTGTACGGCCCTGCAGGTCTGCGCTGTCAACAGGACATTTACACTGTTGGAAAAGAAAATATTTAACATGCATATGGGCAATTAACATTCTAAAAAAATGTAAATGTGTTTTCAAATCTTCAATGATTTATTTTACAGCTTAAGTTCATTTACGTATTCCTCTGCACAACAAGCTAAGAAAACTGAAAAAGAATGAAAGACCTCTCGTTTCGCACGTTTACACTCATCAATGAATAGAATTTAGAATTTGCCTCAATCAAATGTTTATTTTTTAATCCTTTAAATTATTCATGGTTTTAATTATTTTGCTTTTGCACTACTTTAATGCAATTGAAACTCATGTGCATTCATCTCCTTCGTTTTCACTTGCATTTAATTACAGCTGCATTCACATCAAAGCTTTACGAAAGAAAATTCACATTTCCACACCAGATAACACACCTCGCATTCTTAACGGTGCGTTTGTGAGCAAAAGAATGGTTGCTATATAATACAAAAAACTGGAGTAAATTGCTCCAGTGGAGATCAAAAGCAAACGAAAGTCCAGAGAAAGAAATTAACAAGGGCTTTAAACATAAAACAGGCTATGGAAAGAAAAGAAAGCATTGAGCTGTCTTTGGCAGAGCAATCGCTAAAGGGCTTGGTTATACGTCAACACTGACATTCCAATGCGGTTTCTCATTAGTCTGACTTCCTGTGATTGTTAGTGGACAGTACCTGCAGCAGCCTCTGCACACACATGGAATGACCGCCTGTGGCAGACAGATGCAAAGCGGTTTTACCTGCAGAGTGGAACAACATACATACAGTGAGGTTTAAAAGTCTGAAATTGTGTGTTTTAATGGCTGCATCACTTGAGCTGCTTGAACTCCAGAAGTTTGAGTTCAAACTGATCATGTTCTTCATTATTCTGGTCATCTGTATAAAGGAATTTCATGCTCAATGTCACAAATTTGCTTATTTAATTGTTTGTTAATGTTTAGTGACTTACAAATAGTGCGGAATACTATTCATTTTACGTATTCTTTGCTTTGCATTTTTCAAAATCTTATCCTTTCTGTTTATTTTTTAGGTGCAAGTCGATTTTGAATCCCAGTTTTTCAATGTGATCTCAGACCAGGGCTGATTGATTATGTCAAAAATCATAATCATGATTATTTTGTCACTATTGACAATATTGATTTTTTTATAAGATTATTTAAAGGTCCTATACATCGTGGAAATAACATTGCTATGATATCTTAATTAAAGATACCAGCGAAATATCTCAATTCCCAATTCCAATTTCGACACCACAGCAGGCAAACTAGTATTCACTAGTTCGCCTGCCCGTTCAGCCTTTAAGGTTAATAGTAAACTAACTTGGTCCTTGGAGGAGGCTCGAACCTGTGATGGAGTTGCGCATAAGAGCAAGAGGATAGAGATAATTTACTGGAGGAGAAGATCTGTCAGTAGAATTTGTTAATGACGTGGTGCTTATTTAGTACGCTCGTAATGATGATTGACAGGACTGAATGTTTAGACTCCTCCTGAACCTATGTTTTGAACTTCAAGTCCACAGAAATTATTGAAAAATATGTAAAGAGTCAGTAATACAACAAATACAATAAAAAATCTTGTAATGTCTTGTTAAATTAAGCTTGTCTTTAGGCTAACACACGGTCAACCGCACAACATTTAGACAAAATGTATTGTTGATTATCCACAGGTCTTCAGATTATGACTTAAATGGTTCGTGAAATATGATTACTTCAGAAAGTCTTACCGGCAGCATCTACAGCCTTCAAGTTGACACCGTTTTCCAGGAAAACATTTAGACTGTTTATGAGGCCTTTTCTAGCTGCAACATGAAACCTTAAAAAAACAGGAATACAAATAAAATTATAAGCATGACTATCATCAGTAACATTGTTCATTAATTCCAATGTCAATAGTTTTATTTTACAAAATGAATAAAGTATATTTAATGCAGATATTAGCAAGGTTAATGTAGTAGGGGTGTAACAATATATCGCAATTCAAAAATGCAACAACAATACACATGGATAGTGACAATATGTATCGTGTATAGTGTAGATTTAGCATCAGTACTACATTAAACTACTATACATAATGCTAATTATAATGTATAATAATGCAATGGGGGAATATTTGTGGGTCCTGATAATGCCAAATGTCTTATGTTACCAGTAAAAAGTGGCCAACATTATTTTAAATATATCTAGTCAGAGACAGAGTGCAAGCATATTCGTCTAAATTATTCTGTATTTTCAGCTTCAGAATCATGAATATTGTTATTCTGGTGTCACCATTGTCCTAGGTTTACAAGCACCAAGTCCAAACAATTCATTTAAACCCACAATGTAATATCAAAGTTAGCATTTTAATCAACAGTACATGAAGGTATCGTTACACCCCTAATATATTGGAGATCAAAATATGCATTTACAACATATGTGAGTTTACCAGTGATTATGATTATGTTTAAAGAGCCAAAAAATAATATATTTTTATAATATAAAACGGATATAAACGGCGTCCTCGCTTACACCAGGGAGGAACTTTTACTACTTTTATCCCGGTCCCGTCCCTGTCGGCTACAGGTGAACTTACCAGAGGATTGTAAAGGATTGATTAGGAATTCCGGGGAAAAGGAATGCACACGCCCATCCAAGAAGAAACGAGGATCGAGAGGTGGGATACGTCAAAGGCTCAAACGAAGAGGCGTCAAACCTCCCTTACCGGTAATCACCTTGTCTAATGTACGTTCTCTAAAGAATAAAATGGATGAATTGGCAGTGAAAGTCAAGTATGACAGTGACTTTAGGCAAAGTCACTTATTATGTTTCACAGAGACTTGGTTGAAGGAAGACTTGCAGGATATCTCATTAAATGGCTATACAATGATTCGAGCCGACAGAGATGAAGTTAAGTCTCGTAAGTCTTTGGGAGGAGGACTTTGTATTTTTATGGACAAAAGATGGGCAACAAATTTCAAGATCCATGAACAAATATGTACCACAGATTATGAGCTATTATCAGTGTCCTTTAGACCATTTTACCTACCACGAGAATTTGGACAGATTACCGTCATTTTAACATATGTTACGGGACCAGACAATGTGGAAGCCGCAAATAAAATAACGGCCAGCTATAATAACGCTTTGGCACGTTCCTCTGACCAACCAATTCTAATTCTTGGCGATATGAACTCCTGTGATTTGTCGGGATATTTGCCTACACTTCATCAGTACGTGGATTGCCCCACTCGATCTATGCGCACTTTGGACAAATGTTTTGGAAACATATCAGAGGGATACAAGGCTGTGGCCCGCCCCCCCTTGGGGAAGTCCGATCATAATGTTATACATCTGCTCCCTAAATATCGAGCCAAGCTGAAAACAAGAGAAACCGGTGACCAAGAGATAAAACTGTGGACAGATCAGAGTAAAGAGGAGCTCAGAGACTGTTTTGATGAAACGGAGTGGCAATTGTTCTTTGATGAATGTGATGATGTACACGAAATTACTGACACTATCACATCTTATTTAAGTTTTTGTGAAAATATTTGTGTTAAAACAAAAACAATTCGAATATATCCAAATAATAAGTTGTGGATCACTAAAGAACTTAAAATTTGTGTAAATGAGAAAAAAACTGCTTTCTTAAAAGGTGATAATGAACTTCTTAGAGAAAAAAGAAAGGAACTTAGAAGTCAAATTAAGAAAGCTAAATTAGACTTTAAAAATAAGGTTGAAAGTAGGCTAAATATGGGGAATGCAAAACAAGCATGGGATGGTCTAAATACCATGATGGGGAGAGAAACAAGGAAACCAATGTATCATTCACAAGGTGTATTTTTTGCAGAAAATCTGAATGTTTTTTTTTAGTAGGTTTGATCGTGGAACTTGTACTACTGAGTGTGATAGAATATGCCGTGATATTCCTACATATGAAAATATTATACTTAAAGAGCATGAAACAGCAGCTAGTCTCGCTTGTATTAAGCCAAACAAAGCACCCGGTCCAGATGGATTAAAGGGTAGAGTGATAAAGGATTGTGCTTTTCAATTGACTGGTGTTCTTACAAAATTGTTTCAGCTCTTGTTAAATGAAAAGGTGGTTCCTAGCTCATGGAAATTATCAAATATTATCCCAGTACCGAAAATATCTAATGCCAACCAGTCAAAGGATTTTAGGCCAATAGCTCTTACATCTATTTTGGGTAAATGTATGGAAAGAGTGTTATCTACATATATTAAGAATGATGTAAATAAATATTTAGACCCCCTGCAGTTTGCTTATAAGACAGCTAGGGGCACTGATGATGCAACTTTAACCCTATGCAATTTAGTGTCCGAACATATTCAACAGACCTCAAACTATGCTAGAATTTTATTTATAGATTTTAGTTCAGCTTTTAACTCAATTAAGATAGATGTCCTTTTACAAAGATTACTTGATTTAAGAGTGAATGGCGGACTTATCTGGTGGATTAGAGATTTCCTCTTAAATCGTCCACAAAGAGTTGTCCTTAATGATAAAGTCTCAAAACAATTGTTCTAAACTCAGGAGTACCACAGGGAACTATATTATCACCTTTATTATTTTCACTGTATATAAATGATTTTAAAATTCACAACTCATATTTTAGTTTACTTAAGTACGCTGATGATTTGGCACTTGTCGGCCTTTTGTACAAAGGTGGAACTGAAAGAGAGAAATTGTATCATAATTATATAAATTCCATACAAAAATGGTGCAAACTGAGTGCACTTGAGATAAATTTGCACAAAACTAAGGAATTAGTGATTAGTAGAAATAAAATGGACTCTCTGAACAATTACAACCTGTGAAACTCAGCGGATACCAGGTAGAAATAGTAAATAGTTTCAAATACCTGGGGACATTCATAGATAGTAACTTAAGTTTTACTGGAAATGTGGATTATGTATTTAAAAAAGCAATGCAGAGAGTGCATCTTCTTCGGAGGCTAAAACACTTTGGTGTGAGTAAAAATATTTTAGAAATGGTTTATAAAAATTTTGTAGAAAGCATTATGTCCTTTAATATGACTATGTGGTATGGAGTCCTGACTGTTAAATCCAAGCAGAAATTGTCTAGGGTGGTTAACATAGCTAGTGCAATCGTAGGTAAAACACAAAGACAATTGAATGAGATATACTTATTGAAAGTTAAAGAGAAGGCAAGGGTTATTATTGAGGATTTATCTCACCCCTTGCACTCCAGTTTTCAGTTGCTCCCATCAAGGAGAAGGTTTAGACAACCTAGGGCAAGTAAAAATGTGTACCAGATGTCATTTGTGCCAACTGCCATTCGATTTCTAAATGCTGAGAAGCCATAAATACGAGTAGGAGTGGATATATGTAAGCTTAAGTATAGCTGCATGGTAATGTTACTGTTTTTAATTTATGTATGTATTTTTTCCTTATGTTTTTTGGTGTTGGTGTCCTTGTGTGTGATGTATAGTGAAGCCAAAGACAAATTTCCACTTGTGGACAATAAAGGAACTAAACTAAACTAAAACAAAAAGAAACATTCAACAACATAGCAGCCAAGGCCTGTTTCAACAGAAAATAGGCACAACCCCTCCTTGAGCTTAGTCACAAAGCAAGCATGATACATGTGAGGTAATTAGATCACCAGGACTGTTGAAGCTTGTACGTTGGACAAAAGAAAGATCAACTTTTATAGCACAAAATAAAGGGAGAAAAAAAATCTTTTTAAAATCTAATTGAAAAAGGAATGAAAGTAAAATGCACAGGAGCTAAATATAACAAAAACTATGACATCTTTATTCCATCATGTTTACTGACATGGTTAAGGCAAGGAAATAGATATTCTATTTGAAAGAAAACCATTGGAAGGTAGGAAATATTTAACAACAACAGAACACGACTAAAATCCTCTCATGAGGCCTGACACACCTAATACAACCACCTATAAAAACAGCTGACCGGAAGAGATAAAAGAAGAAACATAGGAAAATTATAGGCTACATAACACTGCACACCATATTTAATATCCTCCCATAAACATATCACCAGAGCACATTTATGATTTAGGTAAACACCTTTGATGTGTTTATGATAAGCTGTATGATGATACTCTCTGGAATAACTTCTATGCTTAACTTTCATGCCTTATTTACAGTTGTGGTCAGAATTATTGGCAATCCTGGTAAATATATTTAAAGATGGCTGTAAACACATATCTGCATTGTCCATCCTTTTGATCTTTCATTAAAAAAATCTAAGTAAAAGAATAGAAAGTGTGTGTGGGGGTCACAAGTTTTTCTCCAAAACAAGTTGGGCCATAATTATTGACACCCCTAGAAAATTTTTTTGACGTATATTCCCATTAATATTTACATATTTAGCACACCAGGAACATGAAATTGTCTAGCTATGAATTTTGGCGTTGTCTAGCCAAAATTCAGTTGTCAGACACACTGGATTTTCAAAAGTGTAATGGTTCTATGTTCGGATGAAATGAAAATATTACTTTTTGGCAGCAAATCTACCAGATGGATTTGGTGCCAACAGGGATAAAAAATATGCCATACAGTTAAATATACTGCTGGATCTTTAATGTTGTGGGCCTAATTTTATGCCAGAGGTCCTGAACATGGCATCACGGATTCTAGCAAATGCCAACAGATAAAAAAATCAAAACCTGACAGCCTCTGCTAGAAATCTTATAATGGACAACGATCCAAAACAAACAACAGAATCAACACAAAAATGGGTCACTGAGCACATTCCCCTGACCTGAACCCTATAGAAAATCAGTGGGCTGAACTGAAAAGGAGAAGCACACAACATAGATCTGGGAATCTGAAAGATCTGGAGACATTCTGTATGGAGGAATGATCTCTTTTCTCTTGTCAGGTGTTGTCCAAACTCAAAGCTTTAAAATTAGTTTTTTTTGTGTACCTTTAAACTGCTTAATTAGAAAGTATATTAATCATCTTGGAGGTTCATGTTTCAACATTTATTTCTATGCTTAGTTTTTCCTTGTTTACACATACCAGGATTTATGAGAAGTGTGATGCAGGTCCATGGAATCTTATTGAAGATTGTGGGAACAGTACAATAGCTCTGTCAATTACGCAATAAATGAATACAAAACCCTCCACAAAGAAAACAGGGCATTCTAGGTAGCTTATCCGTGAGGGTAAAATATAAGAAGAGTAATCCAATGCCGAAGAAAGCACCAAAAATAGGGTGAAATTGCCTCAAAATTGGTTTAGCAGTAAAAACTTAGTGTGAACGTGCCAGTCATCATCCAGGCAATTCTAATGCAGAAGAGGAAAAACACTACAAAACGCTACAGTGCTTCCGACTTTTCATTCAGAAGCTGCGACTGGAAATAAATTCAACAATCAAGGTATTGTGCACTGCAGAGGAGGATGAGGGCACAAAAAAATTGGGCTATCAAAATTTCTTCCCTCCTATCCTGGATGGACATTTGCACTTTTATTAAAAAGCTATCTTGTGGCAAGAGACAAGTGATGAAATGCATACAGAAGTAAACACAGGAGTCCCGGCATGGAGGATAGAGAACTGTTTTTGAGATTTACGTCCAATCAAAGAGCGCAAGACCACTTGATCCCAGAGCCTTTCATAGAAGGGTTCGGCTTCCACTTTAAAACATAATGCGGGAAGGAGCTCAGTAGTGCACAGAACCATAGAGGACAGCTACAGTGAGTTGTCTTTGTGTCAGTCAATTGTTGCTCTTTTGCATAAACACAGAATCACATATAGAGTGTACTTAGGTGGAGAATTATTTCCAGTAAAATTCAAGTAAAGACAATAAAAAACCTGCTATTTGGACATTGAAAACTATTTTCTTTTAGCATCACAGAAGCATTGTGTTGAAAGTGGCACTTACGCAGAATGGCCCTCTGAGTCTAGTTTGGTGGGGTTGGCTCCTTTCTTGAGTGTTGCTGTGAGTTTCTCTATATCTTCATTGTCTGCCGCCTTCATGAGACGATCATCATACTTCCCCCATTCTGTACTCTGTGACAAGGGCAAATATAAGACATCGGAAAACGCAGTATTCATTCCATCAATTTCACAACCTACTCTCTCACAGCTCTACAGAGCCATCACTGAAACTGACATCACGTTTATCATTGTCTGGTTTGGCTCTGCTACTGAACACTTTCTTTTTAAAATACTAAAACTTTCTTTATTTCCATGTCTAAGAGAAAAAATCATGTTTTAATGTGAAACCTTCACTATAGTTCAGTATAGAACTAGCAATTGCCATTAAACACTTATTTTATCAAGCAAAAGTCCATGTATTATACATGTCCTCCTGAAATAACAGAGTTGCTATGCAAAAACTAAAATAATGACTCTGCAATACTGAACAGTGATATAGTGAACATTGTGAAATACAGCAGGCTGTAAAGTGTTAAGCAATCAGCATCCAAGACTAGAACCATCTGGCTTGGTGATGCTGAATTCTTGATTCTGACGCACCAGGTCAGTTTGACCGCATTACAATTGAATTTCCCCAAGTTATTTCAAATAGTCTTGCGGTTTATCACAGCAAAGGAACCAGAAAAATAAAAATAAAATGGGTCAAGCAACTAAGATTAAATTAAAAAGAATATCTGTGAAATGTTTTACAGTTGTTTAAATTTGCAACAATACAATACACAATCTCTGCTTGTCTCAATCGCTCAAGCGCAAAGTAGGCGTAGCCTAAAAGCGTCAACCACGGACGGTGAAATCCAGCGATAAAATCTTCTAAAGAAACAATTGAGAGACAGACGCATGGTTCTTATCACTTTAGCCATAAACATAACAATTCATTCCTGGAGTTCAGCAAAACAAGTTACAACCAGGCCGACTGACCACAGTCCCATTCTATTACACACACGCGCGCGCACACACACACATCACTTTCAGGACATGTTATGGGCTTGGTCCAAGTCTTGATAAGCTATTCGAAAGAGTAAAATGTGTATCTAGTCAATAATGTTTACCTCGTTTTTCTTAAGTCGCTGTTTAAAACTTTTCATAGTTCCAGTATAACAGTCACTAAGCCCAGTGCACTTGTCCAGGTATCCAAATGTGCGTCTCTTGTCAAAGTTTGCCTGTAAACTTTATTCCTCCCCTTGGTTACAAGGTTCAGGCTCGCACTCCCATGAACCAATCGTCAGGAAAAATGTGTAACTATGAGCCAATCGGCGTGGACAGGGAGTCTCTGAAAGTAAGCCGTGGTGGAAAAGCTGGTTCACATGATTTGGTGGGCTGCAGATTCCACACACTGTAGATGCCTTCAAAAGCAGCTCGACAATAAGGGTTTGTTTTGGATACAGCTTCGAGTAATACTGTCAGCAGGCTTGTCCTGTTTGCAAACTTGTAAACACAGTTGCGTCATCAGTGGTTGGTTAGAAATATGCGTATTTGATTATTAAGATATTGCACCTTTTTGTAGAAACTGGATTGATATTCATGTAGCTTATTTAGCTGGCCAATTTTACATGTTTATGAGATTATTCATATATGTGCAATGTTATCAAAAAGTTATCTGCGTCAAGTTTGGCAAAGCAGAAAATGACAAAAATAGCTATTTTTTATAGTAGCCTAAACACAGCTCAAATTCTCAACAATATTGTCTTTAAAATCCTGTTGTACCATGTTTTGTACCAGTTCAAGCGTTATAAGTGAAAATATAAATATTTTTTTTCTAGCGCCACCTAGTGTCTGAAGAAAGTGTGTCTACGTACGTTTGATTTGCAGTTGGTCTTTGATTTATGGTCTCTGAAGCATAAAGAGTTTTGGGGCAGAAAAATAATGATGACTCTAAGCGTGTTACAGCTTCTTTACTAAAGAGCCAATCGAGCGTGGTATGAATCACATCCTGTGATTCGTGAATCACATCCTCAGTGGTATCATGTCACAGCCCTCTAAACATAAACAATAGGAGTCTCATTTCTTTGTTATAATACAAAAAAATGAACAGTAATAATGATGCTGATGCTACTTCTGATATATAAAAAAGGATATCAAACAGGGTTGTTCTTTCCTGAGGGACCAAGTCTGCCATTTTATGATGTTTGAATGGCTTTAGCTCAAGTCTGGGAACTCGACAAATCCAGTAGACAAACCAGTTTCAAACATGAGCTTCTTGAAAGACCTCATTCATTCTGCTTTAAAAATATGTAACTGCAGCCTCCCAAATAGAGTGTATCCATGGCCGTGTGCCAAAAGTATATAAAAAAGCAGTTATACAAGTGTTTTAACTGTCATTGCTGCAATATGTTACATGAAGCTGAGCTAGACTTTAGACAGTGGTGATGTGGGGTTCCTAAACCTTTGCAGCCTGCTGACAAATTATATACAATCCATCTGTGCAGTTAACATGCTCTATACATTTCACAGTATATTTAAGACCACATACTCAAATAACAACTGCAAATCCCCTAAATCTAGATAATATTGAAGCAAGTAATGTAGAAAAAAAAGATTTGAACTTTGCTATTTTAATCAAACTATACATTTTAAAATTTGACCCTAGGTCAACAGCATCTGCTTTCATGTGGCCACATACCATTGAATTGCTATTACATAACCTTAACCTCAATATATGATTCCACTTTAAGCTATTTGATTATATGAAAATTGGCTACAGTTTATCTGAAGTTGAATAATGAGACTGAGCCACACCTGGGAAGGACAATTTATTGACTGACATGTAAAAAAAAAAAAAAACTAAAACAAATAATTCAGCATTTCAACCATACATGACCAGGTTCTGTGTATCAATATTATATAAACCAAAAATATGGATCAAAATTAGAGCAATTTCCAGCAGCTTTTTAAAGAAATGTAATTTAATTCCATATCTGGAGTACCAGACATTATAGAGTCCTGAACCAATATCGACTGATGACGTGAGCACTAAAATCTTCCACAAGACAGATGAATGGATTTTAAATAATACAAATAAAATGATGATCAGAACGTAGCACCAAACATCCTCGCTGGCTTTGCCCTCAGACAGCTTTGCGATGATATTCCGGAGGTGCAACCTCATAATCACTTGCACAGAACAGACATGACGAATTCTTCACCAAATACCTAAATCAAGCACAAAATGGTTCACATTTCAGTCAGTTACTGCCTGCACGTAAAAAAATATATATACATATTAAAATCAATTTCTACTTACTTTAAAAAATCTTGCAGGTAGCTGAGAAGCAGGGCTAGACTCTTCTCATCCAGAGGTGTGTATGCCAGCATTGCTCCAATTCTCACTGTCAAAGGACACACAAGAGGCCATATCAACAAAAAAAACAAAATACTGGGAAGAATATGTCATTGCCAATAATGTAATTAAAACATTCTCTGTGATATGGCTCTTTCAGAACTCAATTACATGTTCTTTGCTGTATTTCCATGATTACATTAAGCTTTGAGGATGAATTTATGAGCGTGGCCATGTATTATTAATAGTTTGTAGAATTCAAAGCTCATGTTCAACAGTTTTATTTGCTTTTAAAATGGTACAATTAGCATTTAAAGTTGGCATAAAATGGCCAATCTTCCCTATTGTGACATACAGTATATCCACGTGAAATGTAGGGTGGGACTTGATTTTGTCCACTGGTAATAGATTGGATGCGTGTGGTTTGCTATTGCTGTGATCTCATGTGAGTGACAGGTTGTCCCACCCTCATGACATCATCAGAGAAGAAATGTTGCAAGAGGGAGGGCACATGAATTTTAAAACAAAAAATTAATAAATACTACAATTTTCCATTAAAAAAAAATTTTGATTTCATGGGGACTAAGTTCATACCAAAAAGCCTCAGCAGGTGCGGCGCCCCGTAAATCTGAGACATGGACGTATCCGGATGGTTTGCTAGGATCTCTGCATACTGCGGCCTCTCAAACTTGTAGAGGAGCTGAGTGCCCAACATGACATTGAAGTACTCACGGATTCCAGCAACCACCTCATTCACAGCAAATTCCCTGAGCACAGATCAAGTGTGTATTAGTATCTCTTCAGAATCTCTCTCTACACCCTGCGGTTTATGAATTTTTATGAACAGGGGGAATTCAATTAACTATGATTTGCACAACAAATTAATATTACAACAGTGATTTCACCAAAATGGATAAGCTGTTATACTTGTTATCACAGTTTCCTCTTGATTTCTTGTAATTTGCATAGTCCTCCAGGACAGCATCCACATTCTTTTTTGCAGGCAAGTGAAAAAGCTAAACAAAAAACAAATATTTTCACAGTTCATATCTTTCAAAACTCAAATTTTATGACAAATTCAAGCAGATATCAAGGCAAAATCCAGCAAATGTGCCGTTGGTAAAACTTCAAATACCTAACTATATTTTTCCTCTTCTTTGTTTCGTTGCTGCTCTAGACAGCATTCTGAAGTTTAAAGGTGCAGCAAGGGATTTCTGAGAAACGCTGTTGAAAGTGGATCTGACCGAGCACCACAACACACTTGTAACCAATCAGCAGTAGGGGAGGAGAGAGCGTGAGCAAGATAGGAAAAATAAATGGCTGAGATGCATTACAAAAGAGAAAGGTTCAGAGGAATATCACTGGGGAAAAAAAAGGCTCATGATCAGGCAAGAGCTTCAGGAGGAGTCACATTAATATTAGGAAAGCTTTCCAGCCATATAGACCCAAGTGAGAAAGCCTGAAAATGGTTCTGTTTCTGCTCCATATATGTTTTCCTACATTTCACAGAACCAAGATATGCTGCAGTTGTAGTAATGTTAGCAATAGCAACAGGACAGTTGAGTGTCATTGTTTGTTTGGAGCTGATGTGCTGCCGGAAACTATCTCTTTCTTGTATATACTCTTGAATACTAGGACTAGTTCATTTTAATGCTCTGTGATGACGCTATAAAGGAGTAGTTTAAAACAAAAACAAAAAACTCACTTTTAAAAAACTTTTGCTGATAATTTACCCCCATATCATCCAAGATGTCCATGTCTTTCTTTCATCAGTCGAAAAGAAATAAAGGTTTTTGATGAAAACATTTCAGGATTTTTCCTCTATATAATAGACTTCAATGGGCACCAAACGGTTCAAGGTCCAAAAGACACTTTCAGTGCAAACTGTTCAAAGGGCTTTAAACAATTCCAGATTTTTTTTAAAGTTTTATAAGCTCAAACGCTCGCCTTGCTGTTCTGTGATGTGCGTTCGTGACTCTCCTATTCGAACTCGTTCATCAAAATGAACAAATCTTTTTCAGAGTCAATTCGTTCCATTGAATGAACCAAATGACTTGAAAACAGATTTGTTCATTTTGATAAACGAGTTCGAACAGGAGAGTCACGAACGCACATCACAGAACAGAGCAAGGTGACCATTTGAGCTTATAAAACTTAAACTTTTTTTTTAATGAGTGATCGTTTCGCTTGATAAGACCCTTATTCATCATGTGGAATCGTTTAAAGCCCTTTGAACAGTTAGCACTGAAACTGTCTTTTGGACCTTGAACCGTTTGGTTACCAGTAAAGTGCATTATTTGGAGAAAAATCCTGGAATGTTTTCATCAAAAACCTTAATTTCTTTTCGACTGAAGAAAGACTGACATGGACATCTTGGACGACATGGGTGTGAGTAAATTATCAGCAAAAGTTTTTATTAAAGTGAACTACTCCTGTAAACTTGATGGCAACTAGTCACTCATCATGGTCAATACGAGGGCGCAACAAGATAAGACATCTTTTAAGTCCACTTTTATGCTTTGTTTCCTACAGTAAAAATTACAAATAAATGCATAGTCCAAGAGCGCTCCACAAGATATGCTTGATTATACCATCTGGATGCTCAACTGCTCATCAGGATGGAGGTTCAGGCTTATTTGTTCGTTAATGAGGTCATCAGCGACTAGTCGATGTCAACTCAACTTTAATCGTTCTAAAAAAAGTCGTTCAACCCATATTGTGTACTGCATGTTCATTTTTTGCTCTTCCTTGTCGCTCGTTTGCCATCTTCACATTATAATTTTTCCCTTCAGCTATGATACACAGCCACTCTTACATTGCGAGTCCGTTTCAACAGCGTTTCTCATAAATTGCTTACTGCACCAATATCATTATGCAATGCACCTGAATGATTGAAGAGCACTGAAGGATGACTTTGGGATGACATTTGTAGTTACCTGCTTCTGTCTAGTGATCAGGTCCCAGTCATCTACCAGCCATGGTTTTAACTCCTCAGGAATTTTTACCTTTACTTCTACTCTGTTAATGAAAGTCTCCTCCTGCACACAAAACCAGTTTGGGTGTCAAAAACAGCCTTACTCTTTACTTATGTAAAAACACCAGTTCATAGAGACTCTTTGGCATATTTGTTTTAAACAGACTTTGAACTGACATACACTCTCCACAGTTGGGTCAACACGTGCCCTCTTCTTGCGTGGGGGGTGAGGCATGTCCCCAGTGCTAGTGCCCTCTCCAGACCCTGGCGCTGAGAAGTTAACAAGGTAGAGGTTTTTTAATCTTTATTTTATTTGATCAGCAACCATAAATAATATCCCCAAGCCACGTTTAATCGAATTGTATCTGCAACTATTAAACTTCTGACAAATACTAATGGCAGAACAGCCAACTGTGAAACTCTTTCAATGACTTTTTAATTACATAAACACAATCAAACAGCTACGACAGGTGAAAATACATCAGTATTTACATAGGGAAATGGAACTTACTCTTTTGCTTGTTCTTCTTTGTTTTTCTAGTGAAATAGAAAGTCCATGGTTAAATATGCACCACAGTAAGCATACGTTTGCAGTTCTGATCAATCATTTTAAAAATTCTAGATGAACTGTTGAAGTGCTTGCATCAAGGAATACTCACACATCTACATTTTTTTGCTGCACAGCAGCGATTTTCTTGCTCGGTGCGACACCCCTCATCCTTCCCTCAACATAATGGTCTCTGGAAAACAGTATGTTCTGCAATAAATCCTTTGTGCAGATTGTATAAACAGGATATGGATGTGTTATGTGCATTAAATTAATTTTTTTGAATATATCAGCAGGCACTTGTTACCAAACTTTATTACTCACTGGTTTGCCTTCTGAAGCTCTTTCTGTTTTTGCAGGTTACTGTCCACATATTTGAGCACACGGCTTTCAGGAACCCATTCGTCCCAACTAGAAACACATTTAACACACATTAGAATTAACAGACCAAACCACATGGTCATTGGTGGAAATTACAAAAACATAGGGATGTTAAAGGTGTCCTAACAACCACTGAATTTTTTTTTTAATAAACTTACTTTTTATTCCATCCACTGTAATGAATAAAGTATTTCACTTGTTTGTCCTTGATATTGATTTTCACACACTGTGAAGAGAGAGAGATAAAATATGTTTATCCTTCCAAATTATCTTTCAAGGGAAACATTTCAAAATGTATTTAATAAGTAAAACTATTGAAATAATTTGTAACATTAAAATTACATTCAAACAACACAACCAGAGAAAAGAGCCTCTTCATGAGAAAACACACTAGGATAACAAAACAACTTAAAGAGATAGTTCACCCAAAAATGAATATTTGTCATTACTTACTCACCATCAAGTTGTTCCAAATCAGCATGAGTTTCTTTCTTCTGTTCAACACAAAAGAAAATATTTTAAACAATGTTGGTAATCAAATAGTTAACGGCACACATTGACTTCCATAGTAGGAAAACAATTATATGGAAGTCAATGGGGTCCAACTATCTGGTTACCAACATCCTTCAAAATACCTTCTTTTGTGTTCAACTGAACAAAGATACTCTTACAGGTTTGGAACAACTTCAGGGTGAGTAAATGATAGCAAAATGTCCACTTTTAAATGAACTATCACTGACATAAAAAGATTTGTTAAATGGCTAAAAGTACTTTCACTGAATGTAACGTTATACGACCTATCAAAAGCATAACCCTGATCTACAAAACCACAACATCAAACACTTGGACAACATTAACACAAAAAAATTTCAATAAGGCTTTTGAAGGATGCATAAAGACATGAATAATTCAAAGAGATACCTTAGCTTCGTATAGCAATGGCCCATGAAAGCACAGCACTCGTTCACCTGAAATACATCAGAAACATTAACGTGTAATGGCGTCCACTGGTAGGCTAACAAATAAAGGAGAAGCATTAATTAAAACGTGAATGAGTACAGGAGCAATTGTTTATTATGTTTTAATAAACGCATTCAGAACAAGTCACAACACACATGATCTATTTAAAAAGTATATATGAGTTTATTGCAATATTTTCAATTAAGAGTTTAATAATTGACGTGACGTGAAGGCCAAATATGGTAACCAGATCAGTGATGGTAACCCATGCTCGGAGCAATGAGTATTACAGCCTGAATCAGCTCGTTAAAACAAATGTACCGGTACTTAGAGCCTAATTAATTCAATTAAATTAACTAAATTGAGCAGAATAGAAACGATAACGAAAACACTCCTAACATTATGTTAGTAATAACGATAAAAAATAATTCCCGCCAGGAGGACTTCAATGCTATAACATGAGCTTCCTGTAAACAAGGCCTGCTGGAAGCTAATCGGCTAACATAGACAACAGCTAATGTTTTGTTACAGAGATGCGGGGCGCGTGCATGTATAGAGGCTCTTACATATGACGGGAAGCATTAACGTGCGATGATGTATGCACTTGATTGCTTATAAACAATTCTGCACATTTGAAAATAGGCAATTAGAAGTGCTCAGCTAAAAAAAAAATGCTTTTCTATATACATCTCGCTGTGCACACGCGCCATTGTGCTGTGGCAGCGACCGCTTCCTTTGCACGGCTGAATGAGAGGATACACCGAACAACTGATGACTCCATTAGAGGATACAACGCTATCCTATAGGGCATCTTACCTTCTTGAAATTTAGGTTTAGGGTCCTGTTTAGGCGCCATTCACAGATTAAACAATAAAAATAGCTGGAAAATCAAATCCAGGCATTGCCAGCTCCGATTTAATTCACACAGGGTGAAGGCGTCGCGCTGCGTTTCTATGACGCACTTTTTTGGCGCCCCTGTCAGCTGACTAGAGCATCACAATTTCTTCTTCTTTTTTCTTTTTTATTAGCAGCTCGCATTCTTGCATCACATTTCGTTCGCTTTATTAAAACAGAATTAAAATGTTTTTCTTTTTTTAGAAATTAAGATGTCTTTTGTATAACTTATATTGAAATTTTACTATTCAAAAAATGCTTACAGAATACAGATGTAATAAAATTTAGGGGAAAAAAATAAGTATTATGGCATAAAAAAACAACAACTTAAGTTAAAATCTTGTTTTTCATGCCATAATACTTATAAATATTTTATATATGAATAAAACATTTTTTTAAATATATACATGTATGTGTGTGTATACAAAATAACTATATACAGCACACATAAATATATTATGTAAACACAGACTTTTATTTTGGATGCACTTAATTTTTGCACAGCCCTACTATATATATATATATATATATATATATATATATATACACACACACACACAAATATTTCAGATGTCAACCTGAGTGGACAGTGCATTTTTGGTTTTAGCCTCATGAGGAGTATTAAACAAAAATACAGTAACACAGCTATATTGTGTGTTAATAAACCAATGAATAAAATTAATCACATTACTTTTTTGATGTAACTGTAAATTACATTTTAATAACACAAATACATTTACAAAGTATTTGCAGCCAAAAAAGTCCTGCAGATGAAGTATATCAAGAACAACAGTCACAGTACTAGTAGTGAATAGTAGCTGAAATATAGCAGTGATGCATGATGTCCAATTTAGTGGAAAGATGATTCATCAGAATTCCGTCCCAAACTAAAATCAGCACATGGAAAAATTACAATGATATGATGTTTTTACCTACTAGAGTCTCTTAAAAGGAATGAATGGATATTCCAGAGGCATTTCTGACCGGCTCTCGGCCACCTTGTTTTGAAAAAAATAAAATAAAACTTGAATGGGCAATGTATGATGACGCATTGTCCACTGTATAGGTTGATGTGCTATGGCTTCAAAACCCATGCATATAAAAGTGCTTTTAGAATAGCTGTCCACTGTAGAGTCCTCTGTGTGCACTAAGGGTTAATAACATATTCACAGTTCTCTGATCTTGGATAATGGTCACATTGACATGCAAGTGAACAAATGAAATATAAATATTTTTAGTGTTCAATCGGTTATGTTGATTCTTTTTATTTTCAATTTTCATTTTTTTTTTTGAGAAATAAATTGAGGAAATCCAGGCATAATGTATAATGCTTAAAGGATTAGTTCACACAAACACAAACAATATCCCATATCCCATCCTATAGGTATATGGCTTTCTTATTTCAGCCAAACACAATCAGAGTTATATTAAAATGTCCACACTTTATAAAGAGAGTGAATGTTACCATATATTTTAAAGCCCCAAAAAACCCTGCATCCATCCATCAGAAGAGTAATCCATACGGCTCCAGGGGGTTAATAAAGCCATTAGACTTGGTTCAGTCGTTACCATACGCCTGTGATTAGAGAATATATGCAGTATTTGAATGAGATTATTGTGTACCATATATTTATGGTACACAATAATCTCATTCAAATCTAAATCATAAACGAGTTAGGTCAAAGTTCATTTAAAAGTAATCAAAAAGTAGTTAGAATACATAACCTAAAATGAGTAGCCTAATCTACTAACTGCAATTCATGTAATTTGTAATCAGAAATTGAAATTGTGGTCAGAAGTACTGTTTACATAATAATGAGTTATTCATATTATGTCAATCTTAATCACAACAGGGTCAGGGTTGCTTACGTTTACAATTGATATGATTTAATATTTGTAAAGACAAAGCCTATTGTTGTTTTAATAGTCATTTTCAATTATGCTTTTTTGAACTTCTCAGTGTAACAAAGGGTTAAATTACACCCATTGTTTAAATTACAGATATCAATCATCAGTTTGACCATTTTTAAACCCATATTTTCAGCTTAATCGATATTGTTTTTATAGCAATACATTCAGTGTGGACTCTAAAAAAAAGCACCCAATAATAATTATTACGTTCAACTAAACTTAATAATAATATTGGTGATATAATAATAATAGGTTAATATTGCATATTTTTATGATAATTATTTTACTATAATTGTGTCAATTAAACATTCAAATGTACACATTGCTTCAGCATAAATATTATTAGTCGATCTGCAATTTTAATTTCCATGCGTTTGTGCCGCATCTCAGTTCACGCAGGCCTTCTAGATTTCTAAAGAGACCTTTTGAATAACCAAGGGGCAATATTTGACAGACAATTTTTCAGTTTCTTTCTCAATTCCCTTCTCGTAAGACAATAAATAAAAGGATTTAATGAACTATTAGTATGCGCTAAGCAAACAGTCACAGGGAATACATAAGTATGGACAATATAATAAGCCTCATCCCAGTGAATCACGTTCAGCTTGACCAGCACACCCCAAAATGTAATTGCGTGGTTCGGCATCCAGCAAAGAAAGAATGAAAGAACCACAACTGTGATAGATTTGGTAACATGAATCTTGCGGTTTGAATGAGTGTTACTCAGATTTCGTTTTCTCACAAATCTCAGAAGCAACAAATAGGACACGGAAATGATCAACATGGGCAGAATAAAAGCGATCATAATTTTTTGCAAATGATAAAATGCTAGCCAGTAGTGTCCGGCGGGAAACTTTAGTAAACAGAGCTTCTCTCCAGCCACGATTGTCACAGTGGAGAAAATGGATGTTGGCGCGGTGGCGACTGTGGCAACGACCCACAAAAACGCGCAAACCCACTTGACAGAGCACGATGCTGGGGGTCGGACTCTGCTCTTGGTGGCTGAAGCAACGGAGTAGTATCGAGTGATGCTCATAGCAGTGAGGAAGAAGACGCTGGCGTACATGTTCATCACAGTGACGGAGAGGATGATCTTGCACATGGCGTCTCCAAACGGCCAGCTGAAATCCAGAGCGGTATCCACCGCCCAAAACGGTAATGTCAGAACGAACTGGATGTCTGTGACAGCTAAGTTAATGATGAACACATTGGTGGTGGTCCTCTGTTTGCAATGTTTCACCCTCATGATGAGAAGGACGAGCGAATTCCCAAATAAGCCTATTGCGCACACGAGAATGTACACCACGGAGATCATGATCCTCAAGACCGGACTCCTGTCCGCAGTCACGTCAATGTCCTCCAGATTTCCAAAAGTGACATGACCCTGAAGGGTTCGGTTAAACACCCTGCTGCTGCTGTTAAAAGGGTCACCCATAGTTAAGCATCCAATGGCGCGTGTGACCTGCGCGCGCGCTGTGCTCAGCTACTGTTTATAGGCTACTAGGCTACTTCAGTTGTGTTGAGGAGGTTCTGTCAGCGGTTTGACCACCAGCCGTGAGCTTCTTCTAATTGATCTACATGTACACGCGCATTAGTATTACCCGCCCATGCGGTGCAAAGATTGGCTAGAGACCTATATGACCGAGGCTCACTCACCCAGGGTGGGAATGATTGGGGTTTTATATCCCTTGGTAACGCGGGAATCGTGAATGCCAACCTACGTCTGGTTGCAATTTGCAAGCCGTTAAACGGACATAATGATAGTCTATGAAAACATGAATTTGAAACAATACACTCCCAGAAAAAAAGGTACAAAAGCTGTCACTGGGACTGTGGTACACTTTTGTACCTAAAGGCTGCATATTGGTACCTCAATGATACATATTAGCGCCTATATGTACATATTAGCAATTGAAATGTACATAGTTGCACCTGAAATGTACATATTAACACCTAAAATGTACATATTAGCACCTGAAATGGACAAAAGTTTACCTTACAGCCCCAGTGACAGCTTTTGTAACTTAAATATGCCATTTACATATAACATTTTTAACAAATTATAACAATTCTGACTTTTTTTCTTCAAGTGACTACCACTTCGTGGCGGAGATGCTGTTGTTCCCAATTGCTTCCACTTTTTATAATACCACTAACAGTTGACCTTGGAATGTTTAGTGAAATTATGTGAAATTTCACGAATAGACTTATTGTTGGCAACTCAAAAAAATGATGTGTTGGCTTTACTTAACTTTTTTATGTAAACAGGTTCCACCGGTTCCACACAAACATAATTTGTTCATGTATCTTCAACATCATGGAAGTAATTTTAAGCCATTCAATTAAACTCTGAGCTGAGTGTTAAAGTTAATGAGATAATTAAGTGAATAATTGATGATTGAGCATTATTGAAGACACCTGAACAAGCAGAATCACTGAAGGAGAAAACCGAATTTCAGGTCACCATTATAGATGAGTGTTTGTTTGAGTTGGGCTCTTGACCCCCACTCTGATAGTCCATCCAATTAAATCAGTGGACACTGAGAGTGAACATATAGTGATTGGGAAAGTAATTCATGTTTCAAGTTGAAGAATAGTGTATTTTGAGTTCTTTTATTGTTTCCCATCTAAATCCAGTTAAAACTAAACTAATAAGGGTTGTATTTGAGAGATATAGGAAATCATCAACCCTTTTACGCATTTCTTTTTAAAATCAACAAAAAACATATTAATAATCCAGTGACAATTAAAATGGACTGTAGTATCAATAATGCAATACTTCACAAAGTAAACAAAAAAGCCTTTAAGGCATTTGTCTCTGAAAACGAAAAAATGTGAAATGATGTACAAACAAGTACAATTCATATATAATATTTATATTTCCTGATAATTTATTAACTGACGAGTTGTCTACGATAATGTTCACAGCATAAATTAGAAAGTATTTGAAACTGTTGTTCATTTTTCCCTATAGGGTGGAAATTTTTGTAATTATTTTGTTTAATAAATGGTTAAATTTATTACCCAAAGCTTAAACAAAAATATTTTTTCAAATGTTTTAGGGCCTACATCACCCTATTGTCATCAAGTGTCACTCAGACAGACAAATCTGTCAAAAAGACAAAAGGATAAATTTCAAAACAGGAGTCTAGTCATCCACAGCATAACAGAACAAAAGGAAGTTATAGTTATGCAATGCATATATAGGCATATATTAGCCTGACTTCGTCATACTCATATTCTAGTCAGGGTTCGGGCTGACATCCAGGCTAGGCATATATAGTCATGGCGTGTAAAAACTGTAAAAGGTGGTTGCTGTTTCAGTTGCGGTGCTCTATCACTGACGTCTTGACAGCCAGATAGGACATTGGACCATTGATTGGATGAACATTTTATAGTCCTACACCTTCCACAGTTGATGTTTACGTACGTAAAAAATGCATTTAGACCATTTAACTTATTGATTGCTATTAGAATTCGAAGAGACTTTCAACCAGCATAACAAGAAAAGTTTCTGCAACCAATAACCTTCCCAGCCTTTAATCCATAAACTGTAATGTTGAGTATTTTTGCATTCACTTGTGATAAAAAAAACACTTGATCTCTTTGTCAATCAAATTATAAAACAAAAGTGAAGTTTAACTCTTTTTTTTTGTTGTTGTTATTGCTCTGTAGTAAAAAAAAAAAAAAAAAAAATACAGACAATTTCTAAGTGTGAAATAGGGATTAAGCATTCTGCAACCAGAGGTCAAATAAAGACCAAAATACAGATAAGACAGAAATAGAAAAGATTTAATGTATTTGTTTTATTACAGCTAAACCGCTCTCTACATAAACAAGTAACATTCATTAAGTAAACAACGTATCCCAATTCAAATAATAAATAATTCATATAATATTTTGTACAAACTGGTATTGGTTTCCTGTACATAATGGTTTCTCTCATAGCGTACCATACAGTAAGAGAAGAACTTAAGGCAGAGAGTTCATACTTGCCAGTTATTGGTACAGCTATAACAGACTGACTGTCTAGTGGTTTACTTCAAGGACGTAGCGGTTCAGCGGGCACGTGAAATGTATGATTTCAGTGCGATGTCAAATGGGAGATCCGTGTAGAACGATGGCCGTCTCAATTTTGTGTGCTATTACGTAACTCAGTGCAAATGTAAAAATATATAAATTAAACGAGCATGGGTTCATCAATCCAATTGTTAATTTTCAACACTTTGAATACAAAAATCACTCATTCAGAAAGGTTAGCGACCTGTGCACTGGCTGTCACCGAGTGATTAAAAGTACGTTCTAACGTTCCAGGTCCAACATTAGCGGTTCCACAACCTTTTTTTTTTTTTTTTTTTAATGCAGGACAATCAATGACAAATCAAATACAGCTGTCACTTCACAACAAAGCCAGCTGGCTTTTGTCCTTTAAACAGTTTCACTTCAACCAAAGTTGAATCTGACACAGCAAGTATGATTGTGGAATTAATGCCTCAGAAGAAGTCTCATATAGTACAAATATGAGAGAAGAAGAGACGAGGACACGTAATTAGCTACTTGTACGACGCAAAGCAAGTGTTAAGAGCTCTTGAAATAATTACGAAATAAATGCATGATCATCAAACAAATAGTAAAAATATAATATATAGATAAAATAAATAAATTCAGTTTAACACAGATGAAAATAGACAGCACAGATTATGTTGCAATTCGGTCACCTTCCAAACACACTTTCAAAACCCAGATAACGGTTGCGTTGGAACGGTTGGTTCCAATTGTAATTGTAGCCCAAGCCAACACAGACCTCGAGAAAATGTCATTTCATACGTTGTGTTCTCGACCTTTAAAATGGCATTTGATATAGGTTTGCTGCACTACGGCTACGGCAACATCCTTCTGGTTATTTTTCAGTCATCTTTGCAACACACTAAATGAGGTATACTAAAGTGTCCGATACCCTCAGCGCTGTTTTTGCAAACTTCACCTCATCTCTTGAGGTTTAGTTCAGAAAAAAAATCATCAAAGGATATACGATCGTGAATAAAAGTACAAGAGTCTACTTACTAGCGAATCTGGGTACTGATGCCTTTAAACTCCGCTTCTTACGTAATTAACGTGGTGTTGAATGAGAAAGTGTAGCTGGAATAAGATGTGACCTCTGTCGACTGTTCAAGCATGTCGTGGCTAGATCCTGTATTGGCATAAGGGAATGCTTCTGTACAGCATACATCCTACATAACTTAAAGCAATAATAAATTACCTGCACAGGATAATGGCATTAAATAATGTGATGTTCCCTCACTGATCAAACCATGGCTGAGGGAAAGAGTCTTCGAAATAAAAAGGATGAAGATGACTGCCATTCTATTACTGTGACTAAAATAATTATCTGAAGTGAAATAAAATAGCAAAAAAGTATAAAAGGTACAGAATAAGATAATCGAGGAACAACACACAGAGCAGTGAAAAATCTTCAGTATCCATGGAGAAAATACCAACTGAAGTCACTCACTGGGTAGGCAGCGTCCTATTGTTTATGTACAAAAGTAAAACTGAAAATAGATTTTTCTTCTCTGTACACAGCAATTTTATTCTTCTCTTTACAAAAGTCTTTGTTCTCTTTTTTCCCCCCCAATCATGTCTAAATCCTATCACGAGTGCACAAAGCTCCTTCTCCGCCCTCCAGCTGTTTGTGATAAAAGCTTGTTCGTTTGCAGGGCGCCCCAGTGTGGTCAGTCCAGTGATATGACATCGGGGATGGAGCCGTATATTACGGAGGCGGCGGCGTCTGAGCGCGAGCGGGAGGCGCCGGTGTGTGTGTGGCTGTCTCTCAGACTGCTGGAGGACACCAGACTGCTGCTGCTTCCACTGCTGCTGCCCCCGCTGCCGTTGGCAGGCACTAGCGAGCTGTTCGCCGACGTCCCCGACTGCTCCAGGAAGAGCTGTGACGAACCATAGGGCATGAAACGGTTCAGCAGCAGCTCATGGTCTTCTGAGGCTGACGCAGAGGCTGAGGCGGCGGCTGCAGCGGCCATGACCATGTTATAATGCTGGAACAACAAAAATTTTAGATTATGTTGATGTTTAATTTGAAAAAAGTTTGTATTTTAATTCTCTCTCAGTTAGTCCTCAATCCATGTAGTTTGGCACCAGATGTGGTCAAACATAGACGTTTGATTAAGAACAATGCTGCTGCCCTCTAGCTGTGATGTGCTGCTGTTTCAGAGAGTGAACCTACCTGGTGATTGTCCCCTTGTAAAAATGAGAAGAAATTCAGATCTGTAGAACAAGGAAAAAAAGTTGCTTGGGATAAATTTGCCTAGAATTTCTTTTAGAATCCAAAAACTTTGTTCACTGGATTAAATAAAAAGAAATCCCAGATTGAATGCATGTACAAAGATTATTTTGCTATAAACTATATTTATAATTAAAGACGCATGATAAATCATAGAAAGATTCAGAAACAATTCCTAAATGATAACGATTCGCTTGTGTCAATTAAACCATTGTTCACAGTGAACATTCTGATTTGCGTTGGCGCTGATCTAGAGACAGCGATTGTCATGTATAGGTATGAAAAGGCTTCCGTATCTTGCAATAATTCAAATGATCACAGAAGTACTGAGATAAAAGTTTGTTTTTTCCGGATATAAACTACGGTAGTGATGATCTAAATAGAGAAAATCATCTTTGGAAAATAACTTGAAGCATCAAATAAGATTGCATCAATTACATTGTTACACCAAAAATGTATGTCATTGAATCATTCATTCAAGAGATTCATTCAAAAACACTGATTCATCCAATAATGAAACAAGTGAAGTCTTTTAGATCAAGTCATTAAATTATTCATTCAAAAAGTTAAAAAAACAATTCAAATCAATTAAATATTTTAATAGACTGCAGCAATCAACCTTTTTTAAGAACCTCTAGAAAATCACATGTTATTTTGTTTAGTTGTCTGTATCTCTATTTGAACCAAAAATTGTTGATTCTCAATTTATCCAGAATCATGCGACTCTATATAAAATGTAATAATGTTTTCATTTCAAATGCACGCTTCCATTCTGATGTATTGAAATAGAAAATTGTTTTTACTGTATTTTTGATTTTATTTAAAAAAATGCCGCAGTACTTTTTAAATCTCACCAAACCCAAACCTTTGAACTGAATGACAACCAATTCAACTGAGCACGAACAAACGAGGAGGTCAAGATGAACTGTGCCGTTTGAGCTAGTAGGCACACTCATTTTAAAAATGAAAAATATTCTATCAGTGGAATGAAGCGTTACCTGACAGGTCATTGGCGGTGTGGTAATAGTGACGATAATCCTGGATGAGAGGAGGAGGGGGAGGGATGTAGTTTGTCTCCATTGCAGGCATGCTGGGAGCCCGTGCCAGAGGAGACGTCTGATGATGTAGATTTAACACTCTACAGCAAAAAATAAATAAATAAAAAGTAACATACAGAGGTTTTAAAATGATCTAAAATGACATTTAAACCACATTTCAAAATGTCTGAACTTCTTTGGATTATATGACAAAATATGAATCCAAATGCCATTTATAAGAACACTTTCCAAAAGGACGTTTCAGAAAAACATTTGTTGGGTTTTAAACTGAAATATAAATTCTCACCCTTTGTTGGCAGGTGGGGAGATGGGAGATAGAGATGGACAGGGTCTTTTAGGTGGAGGCTCGTCGTTATCATCATCATCATCATCTGAGGAGCTGTCCAGCGTCAAGTCAATTACCTCAACTTTCTTACTGCTATGGGACGAACTGTTTCTGTGGTCCGATACAACCGACCGACACGAATCTACAAGAGAGTAAGTCATCTTCAAAAAGCAAGTCCATCTCATTTTATGTTTAATACGGTATCCTGCAAATATCTACACACTTTACTACAGGACCGAGACACAACTGTCTATTGTCTCCATAACTCATAACATATATAACAGTCTTTGTGGTAATACCATCAATGCCGTTTGACGATGCTGACACTTCCTGTACCACTCTCTTGGATCTCATAGGAGCCCAATTGCCATCTTCTTTAAACTGAATCTCATCACAGTCCACACAACTGCTCAGAATCTCCATGAACAACCTGTACAACAACAACAAAAACTTAAAATACAATACAAAAAAACAACAACAACAACAACATTGCAGAGACTTCAATTTTGGCAAAACACACTGCTGTTCAAAAACTTAGGGTCAGTAAGATAACGTTTTTTTGAAGAAGAGGAAGAAAAAGAAGAAAATAATACTTTCATAAAGCAATGGCACATTGATCAAAAGTGGCAGTAAAGATATTTAGAATGTTGCAAAAGAGTTTCTGTCTACTCATCAAAACAATCCTGAAAAAATAATTAGTTTCCATGAAAATATTAAGAACTTGAAATGTTTTCAACTTTAAAAATTCAGCAAATCATCATATAAGAATGATTCCTGAAGGATCACATGACACTGGATAAACTAGACTAGAGTAAAGGCTGCTAGAAAAAAGAACCACAGGAATAAATTACATTTTAAAATATTATTAGTTAATTTTCAGGGTTTTTTTTACTGTATTTTTGACCAAATAAATGCAGCCTTGGTAAGCCTCAGAGACTTTCAAAAACCTTTTTTGAACAGCCTTTTGAACAGTTGTGTATAGATGCTCATACACATTAGGCAATGACTGGTACATTAAAGCAAAACAGAGTTTTTGTAGATTTGAGATGGCCCACAATCACAGGTGTGAAAGGTGAGACCAATACTGACCCGTCAATAATAAGGTGCTCGTATGGAGCTTTCTTGTCGCAGACCGGACACACCCAGGTGGGTTTCTTCTCATTCATTTGGATGTAGAGCGTAGCATCAAAGCACTGTAGATGCGAGCAGGTGAGCGCTCGACAGGGAATCGTCAACCGCATCTTTCCGAGCTGTTCATTTACACACAGATGGACACACATTATGTTAGAATACATTAAATGGCCACATATTGCTTCCAAACTTTATAACTGAATTATGATTATACAGTTCTATCTTGTTCCTAAACTGCTGGCTTGTGGTTTATTCTCCAACACTCAAAATTATTAAAATGAAAACGAACACTATATGGAAAGTCAGAAAGTTATAAGCAGGACTTATTCTGACAAAACGGTTAATGCAATTTTGTCCAAAGGAATGTCACAAGGTTCACCAGAATCCCTTTAAGAGAAATAAAAAAACTTTATTGAGGGTTGAGGGTCCACATACCGGACAAAGTAAGGAGACTCGCAGGCTGGTGGTGGCAATCTCACTGTCAGGGTCGGCGGTAAGCTTTTCTTTGACTGAAGAGAGGGCACAGAAGGCAAAACTCTTACGGTGAACAGGCAGCTTAAATGAGATTTTGTAAGTTATTGAGATAAAAAAAACTATTTATTTTGGTCACTTTATTAAAACTAATGTTAAATGGGAGCATTGGTAAGTGAAGGTCAGAAAATCATGCCAAAAATCTGCATTTGTTTGTAATATTCAGAATGTAAAGGTTTAATAGGCTTTATCTCGAACGCCACAAGAACTAACAGGAAGTTTTTGTATGTGCTAGTCTGAGAAAGTGTTACACCAGTATGAACTGACAACAACATCTATGGACTTTTAAGGTAATCTGCTAACCTAAAGTAGTTATTTGTATTGTTGGCGTTTTATTTGATTTTGAGAGGAAATTTTTTTTAGATTTCAATCTGCATATGCGATGGACATCTTTGGCAGCTCCTCTGAATGCATCTAGAGGAAAACATCTCTATTTTTAAAGAAGCAATGCAACCGGTTTTTAAAAATACGGAAGTTTGTTGCGCATAACTCGAATTCAACCATTTGGGTCGTGAGTAAACTTACTGAGTGCTCTTGAGTGGTCTGGGTTTCTAATGCCTTTTGATCGTAGTCTCTGTAGCAAAACTGAGGAGGACTGCTGTCGGACCAAGTACACTGCCATGGAGTAGCTCTGTATGGACAACACAGCTTTTAGAAACACATTCTGAGCAACGTTATAGGGGTGTTTTAATTTCAGAGAAACAATCAAGAAACAATTTCAAACAGATTTCACTTTCATTACCCTCCCTATTTCTGACGTCCAGGAGACAACAATGGTGTTGGGAACTGTTGTGGACAACCTAACCAGGGAGGTAATGTTGATGGGTCTGCTCGGCCGCTTTGGCTCCACTCCATTTTTGGTTGGAGGAAGATATCCCTGAGGACCAGCACAAAAAGAAACGTTAATTTGTTATAAGAGTCAAAGATGTTGACAATAAAGATGTAAAAAAAAATATGTAATCTTTTTATTTGTGTTTTATGATCTCCTTTTGAATGTTTTTAAGTGTCAGTTTTGGGTTAACAGACTTTCAATGGATGGACAGAAATCTCTCAGATTTCATTTAAAATATCTTTATTTTGTGTTGCGAAGATTAATAAAGGTATTATGGGTTTAAAACAACATTAGGGTGAGTAAATGCTTTTGTGTGAACTTTCCCTTTAAATCTACTTGTTAACATAAATGTGTTGAATTTAATCATCGTTTCAAACAATTTGTCTGTCATTGGCAGGCGGACTGAACGATTCCTGCTGATTTGTGACCAAAAATAAAGCCAGACTCACAGGGAGGTTACAGGGTTTTCCATTCACTTTTACACAAAGGTTGGGTGGGAAATGATCTTCCTGAGGACAACTTGTCTCTGATAAGCAAAACCTGAAAAATATGTGTGTTGAGATTCTTTTAGGAATGTGTGGGAAAAGATTTCCAAGACTCTCTCAGAAACCCAAACAAAAGAAAGCTCTGAAGATGGGAGTATGTTAGCCTCAAAAGAGAAACATCACATTAGAATACACAATATTCAACAGCACTGCAAAGAATTTGCTATTTTAAATGTGAAATACAAATTTAATTGACATTATCATAAGATTTTGTGATAATACAAAACAGTAACAAACAATAGCAGCAAGAAAAATGACACTAATTATTTATAAGATCTTTAGTTGAAACTTGTTTTATCATACCTTAGCTGTACTTGCACGGTGAAGTCACATTTGGTCCCAGAAATGTCCCTGTCGAGACAAGAGGGTGGGAGTAAAGGAATGTGTGATAGAGCGTAGGAGAGAAAAGCATACCAAACATTCTACAGGACCGCTCGCTTGGCACGCCTGATAAGCACTATCGCCAGCTATGTAACTACAAGATGAAGATATCTAACATGACCAGGTAAACGGCATAACCGTTTTTAAATTCAACTGGTTTTCAGTTCTGGCTGAAATAACTATAGTATTTAAAATGTTTCAAAAGCACAAAATTAGTTGGGGCATTTCAAACACTTGCACCATGGTATCTTGTCCTACGATGTAATTTGATATCCCCCTCCACACACACACACTTACATTGAGCTGCTGATCTGTTGAACTTGCTGAGGCGTTAGTGCAAACGCAAAACATGTTTCCTGAAACCTCTGACTGCTGTCTGAGGCTGTAAAACAATAAGAGAGGAGACTATTATAGAAAATGGAGAAACCACCACATCACCATCGATAAAAAACAGAGAGAAGACACTTTATATCAAAAGTAATACAATCAAAATAATAATAATGTTAAAACATAATTATAAGGAATTTAATCATGTTTACCATTCAAATATGACTCTCTATAACAAAACAGCACAGATCAGGCAACACAAAGAATAGTCCATTTAATCCATTTAACATTGATTTAGATAAAATACACATTTTAGAGAATTGTGTGCTTCCAAGTTAGCAAAAGTTTGGAGAGCTTTTCTGTATCGTACAGTCCATAAAGAAATGCTTCAGTAAGTCTGGGGTGTTTACTCAAAAGGAAACTGTTAGGGAGGAGTCGGACCAACTTCTTTGTAATGGTTTTTGCTGGTCCACATACTTTTGCTTATTTATAATATATATATTTGCATACTTTGTGACGGCATCCTTGACCGAGCAGCGAACAGAATAGTATTTGAAAGTGAACTTTTAGAAAAATCCAACAGTACGTAAAGTGAATCTCGAACTGAAAGCAAAGCAGCATCTCAGTTTCACACACAAGGTTGCTGGTCCTATCCAGTGGAACCACTTTTAAACACTGTTGAGGTTTAGTTCAAAGCCAAACTCTACACAACAGATCCAAAAATAGCCTGGGTTACATAACCCAATCTCCTTAAATGAAGCAAGGGTTTCAGAAGCAAGAGAGAGTGAGAGAGATAAGAGGAAGCTCTATCAGCTCCTTTACAGGCACACATAGGTGGCTGAACTCAATGAACGAGACTGACATTGGAGGTGTGCTTTCCTTGAGCAGTGATGTGAAGAGGAAAATCTATTCCAATTGAAGTGGAGAGAGTTTAGCAGTGAGATGCTGGCAGATGATTAATCTGTTCTCAGTTCTCGGCTGTGTTAAAGCTTCATCAACACTGGTTGCACTCTCAGCTCAAACAACTCAAAATTCATCACATTGACCTAGAAAGAACGTTCAGTCCGAGGGGCTTCAACGCAATATGGAAGAAGGACCATCTAGTTTCCTGGAAGTTGCTTGGGAAGCAATTTAATGTTACAGGGTCCTTTGCATTGCATAGCAAAAAGCAGTTATTATGTAGCAATTTGCACTCAAACTGAACTCTATAAGAGTCCTTGTAAGGAAATGAAACTTGAAATAAGGTAGCATGCTTCCGCACTCCAAAATGAGCAGTTAAGCATTGGTTAAGGACCTAGATTTGATTCAAGCTGCCATCTGCTCAGCAACGGAATCATTGCAACTCAATTTTCGATGGAGTTTGGCCTGACTGGCTCCATACATTGATTTTGAGGACCCACTTTGGTAGTCATTTCCATTGAGAGAATACAATGACAGGCTTGCATTTGAAAAATCCCAGAAGTGAGGTCACTAAGACTAGTTCTCTAAACATCTCAAAGAGCAAAACCAGAGAAAAACACAACATCTAAACTATCAAAGGACAAAGGCAGTTAGACAGCCTTTGGGCTTAATGTAACTTCCTTTCCATATTGGCCTTTTATTCTTAGCTTGAGCTGGATGACTAAATATAGCACAGGTGGCCTCTGTCCAATCTGATAAGCCATAAATCACTTGAAGAGCACCTTTATGTTTGCATCAATGGGGGAGGAGAAGTCTTCGAGAGAGGCCCATTGTACAAATCTAAAGATTTTCAAAATTGATTAGTCAGTGGGTTGTCCGAATGTCTAGTTAGTTTTATCATGACCACAAGCTCCAAACAGATGCTTTTCTTAGCGATATACTGATGCAAACATAAATATAAAAGTGAATTAGGCTATTTAATCAAAAATATGTTGTTGTTTTTCAAATATAATAATTACGATAACACTTTATTTAAGGTAACGTTGTTACACGTAATGCACTTATATTAATAACAATAATTGATTACAAAATTACAAAAGGAACTAACCCTAAGCCAAACCCTAAGTCTAACAGTAACCCTATAAATGAACACAATTAATTAATATTAGTAACTGTGAAAAGTAATTACACTGTAACAACATAACCTTAAAGCATAACCATAAAAATATGTATTTCCCACAGTATAAATTACACACAAAAACACGTAGCTAAGTTTATAGTTTCGGGCTGCACCATATTTGTGGGTTATTCTAGAAAGTTTAAACCCCCCTGGGCTAAATAACTTAAACGGCTGCAGTTGAAATGGCACAAAACTGTTTATGTGCAACCAGGACGAAGAAATATGATTGAGAAGAGATGAATTTAGAGAAAACTACATGGAAAGGGCTTTAATGTCCAAATCCCTCTCTGACAAGCAACATTAGAAGCACAATTCAACCCTAATCAATTAGTTGATGACTGTTAGGGATCATTCCTTATACTCACCTAAACTGGTGGGTTTGATAAGCTCATCAAGTAGATCGTAGAAGGGCAGCCTCTGTAGCTTGACGTCTGGATGGACTGGGTGAAGGGCGGAGGGCAGGTGGGGCAGGCCCAGCTCATGCTTTGGCCCAAGCAGTGCGACAGGTAGTAGAGACGGTGAACCGTGCCCATCAAATCCCAGCTGTGTTAGGCTGGTGGGCAGGCCTGCGTGAGCTCCTCCAGATGTGGAGTGTATGCCAGGGAGAGACAGGTCTGTCGGGGACACCATCTTTGTGGGGAAGCGGCGGCGGTAGAGCTCCTTGATCTTCATCTGCACGGCAGGGCTGCAGCCGGCTTTCAACAAATGTAATGCTTTGGTCAAGAGTTCGTGCTTCCTTCCATGTTTGTTGCGGCCTGCATATCCCAGAAGAACCTGAAGCTCTGAGACACGGAGGCTCATCACCATTTGCTGTTTTTAAAAGAGAGGAAACAGCAGAGAAATTATGCAATTGCCAAAACAAATAATTCAGAGCGCATTTGACTAGGTTAAAGGAATAGTTCACCCCAAAATGTTGATCAATGAAGACAGCAGCATACACGTTTGGTACAGCCTAAGGTTGAGTAAATAAATGAAAATAAACTATTAAACTTTTCAAATTCAAACAATGCTCTTAAGCATTGAAATTGTAATAATAAATGGTTAAAACACACTACCGTTCAAACTTTGGGGTTGGTACGATTTTTTTTTTTTATATTAAAAACAGTATGAAATATTATTACAAAATACAAATTATTACAGTTTTCTATTTGAATATATTTTAAAATGAAATTTATTCCTGTGATGGCAAAGCTGAATTTTCAGCTGTCAAACATTTATTATTTTTATCAATGTTGAAAATGGTTGTGCTGCTTAATATTTTTGTGGAAACTGTGATTTTTTTTTTTTTTCAGGATTCTTTGATAAACAGAAAGTTACAAAGAACAACACATATTTGAAATAGAAAGAATGTAAAACATTATAAAAGTATTTTAATCAATTTAATACATCCTTGCAGAATAAAAATATTTTTTTAAAAAAAGTGTATTTTTTAACAGATTTTTCTTCATGTTGCAATTACTGATAAACAGTAGGCAGTTCCAAGTCAGCGTTTACTTTCTATTTAAACATTCGTCAACCTAACTCAGGTTAACTGAATGAGGGTGGTTTAAAATGGTTATCCAGTCTGATTTATATGTCTTACACATACACTTACTCTTACATGTATGCCAGCTTTAGGACTAAATTAGCTTCAGGCTCAGTCTTGGACGAGCATTCATTGTAAGCCATAAGTCATAGGCTACATTGTTAATGTTATGTTGGCCAAAAGGCCAGTCAGTGAGAATACAAACGATTCGGTTTGCCAAACGAGGATCATATCAGATTTTTAGGCTGTAACGTTTGTATTGTGTTGTGTAGTTTCTGATGCAGACATGTAATTGTGATGACCCCCATGTACGAAGTTTCAGCACATGTGCAAACGTTAACACCTACATGTGTGGGATCAAAGCCACTTCTCATGTGCAGAACAGCAGACTTTACCTCCCCTGTCATTCTCGGATATTCTGAGACTATAAAGGGCTGTGTTGGTGGTACCGGCATTTGGATTCTATTAAAATCTATGGGCAGGCAGAGTGGTGAAGAGGCTGAGATAGTGGGGGAAGGGAAAATCAAGCCTGAGCCTGGGCCAGTGAGTTTTCATAACAAAAGCAGTGGAGAACAGCTCCAGGGAAAACAAGAGAACCACAGACCAGCGAAAGCTCATATTTCTTCACCTCGGAGAGACCACAGTCCCCTCCCCAGTTTACTGCCAAGTGCCAACTGGACTGCTCACAGCACACAAATACTTACACAAACACTCTTTATTAATTTCCACCCACCCCACCACCCAACACAAATAAACGGCTTCACTGCTGGTATAGCCAGATGATGAGACTCTTGCTCATCCTATCGTAGTGAGGAACGGCCCCAAATGTAAACCCAGAGCGATCCGAAGTTTGGCGATTCAAAAAAAGAACCCATGGGAAAGCCTGAACTTTCTGGTAAATCATATATCTAGTCAGCATGATTTAAATTTTTCTTTTTTGCTTTTATACTTCTAAGATCAAATGAACATCCCTAAAAGTATACTCTTGTAGGGTTGCCAATACACTATACTAGCTGAAGTATCAAGATACAAAGAAGTATTGCGCTACCATGCAAATCTATAAAACGAACCAAACTTATATAAATACATGAATTAAAACAGACCAGATTTTCCATTGATACTTCATTAACCCTCAAACCGTATTCACTTTATAGCTCTTAATCCTGTAATTGTGGACAAATGTGGGCACAGAGGACTCAGGTGTGATCCTAATTTTTATTTATTATAGATCACTGTTATATCACTGTCTTCGATAATGTTTTTAGGGCTGCAACAACTAATCGATAAAATCGATTATAATCGATTATGAAAATCGTTGTCAACGAATGTCATTATCGATTAGTTGGTCTGATTACGTCACGGGGATTGTTTACATGGAACATGCGCTTCTTACATGCGCTTCACGAGGCGCACATGCAGTCTCTCTCCCTCGCCGCTCTACCCTGTCTCGCGCGCGCAACACGGACGGTTTGGAGCACATTATCTTCTGTCTCGCATGCGCACTCTTGATTCCGTGAGTTTGAACTAATTTTTTGCGGGCATCAGGAAACCGCTATCAATATGCAGCATACACGAAAATCATTCACCTTTCGGCAAATTCGCCGTTTTGAAACCAAAATAGGTGACCTACGTTAATCGTGTATACTTTATGAAGCCATACTGTAGTATAATGTGAGATAGAAATGTATAGGACTATTTAAGTCATTAAATTCAAGTTAACCTAAGCTTTTCCCTCCACTGCGGCTGTCAGTCATTCTCTATGCGGTGTTCAAACAGCGCGTCGCGTTACAACAGTTAACATGATGATCTCTTTCCAAGATGATTCAATGTTGTTATTATTATAATTTATCCGTAGATAAAGGTCTATGATGGTTTTTCTATCTTGCTAGACTTTTATTGCTGTAGCTAGCTTAATCACTTTCTACTGAGTGTCTGTTAGATCACAACACTATAGTAGAGTCGGCCCACTATAATTGTTCTTCACGTGCACAGTAGCCTAACTGAAATTTAAAACTGTTAAAAGAAAAGGCTTAATAAACTATTGCATAGATACTGTATAATACACAGTCAGTATGTCTTTCTCTTTCCTTGGTGCTTTTAACTTTAATGCGTCGGACACTGAAGAGCTGCGCGCCGCCCTGTGACTACGTGTTGCTTCAAGCGCATTATTCAGCGCTCGCGATGCACATACGCACTTTGTGCAGCTCTTTCATGATCATGTTATAATACTTTTGCGCAATGAAAGCTTATTAATAGCCTTTCTTGTTCTGTCCTATCTATTATATTTTGCTTCCTCACTAAACAGCTGTGCTTTACATTTGAAACAGTTGTGCATCTGATTTTTACGATGTTTTTCATGAATGTATAACAACAATACAAAGAGCAATGTGTACGTTTTACCAGAGTTAGTGCTACACTTATTGTCTCTTATTTGTTTCCCACTAAGGAATGTTTTTTTCACTAAATGTTCAGATTTTATAAAATTATTGTGCATTATTTTTGATTTATTTTTAATTATTGAGCTAAGTTTTGCTGAGTTATCCAGTTATATATATATAGATAGTCATCTAGTTTACAATAGCATTTTTGTCATAGGTTATGGTCATATATATTTTTTTTATTTGTTGTTTTTCTTTATAATGAAGTTGTCTGTATTAAGTAGATTGTTTAACACACAAAAGAGTGTGGTTTTTAGGGTTTTATTTTGTTATAATAAACAAAAAAATGGAATATAATTTTTTATCCGATTAATCGATTAATCGAAAAAATAATCGTCCGATTAATCGATTATCAAAATAATCGTTAGTTGCAGCCCTAAATGTTTTGTCTATCCACTTATGGTGTTTTTATTTTTTATTTTGGGGGTATTTTTGAATTTATTTACTTCAAAAAGTACCATATTTTCTATGTAAATTATGCTTATTTTTATGGGGTTTTTTTAACTACATTTAAAAAATATCATTCCAACAAGTTCTTAGAGCTAAAACCTAAAGATGAAGTGACTTTGCTGTCACCTGATGTCTTATTTTGGCTTATTTTAGAATGCTCTTAATTTCCCCATTCATTTCTATGGGTGCTCATTTTTGACCCAAATACAAGATTAAGGAGGGTTTTTTTCACCCACTTAACATTGTAGAATTGAGTCAAAAAATTGTGTTTGTTCAGGAGGCAAAGTAGCCAAGTCTTGTAAGTCAAGCCAAGCCAAGTCTCAGATCAAGGGAAGTATTTTTTAAAAATAAATCAAAACTATTTTGCCCACATTTGTCCAGAATACGGTTTTAGGGTTAATGAGAATGAATGACTGGAATAACTATTGTTACCAATCAAATTAAATCAGTGTTAACAAAACTATGATGTGACATTCATCATCCCTTGATAAACGGTGAACTTTATCTCATAGCAAAATGAACTGAAGCATCAGGAAACACTCAATGAGGCGTATTGACGATACTACCGTTTACAAAAACACAATGGCCAGTATTTTGAAGCTTTAGTATTGCAATATTACTGTAGTACCAGTATACCGTGCAACACTATACTCTTTGTCAAGTTCAATAGTTGAAATCCTCAGTCAACAGCCAGCAGAGAGAGGAGAGTGAAGGGAGCAAACACTCCTAGTTTAAACTGTTATTAGGATTAGCTCATCCTCCCCGAGGGCCCTATAACCCTGTGACGACAAAGGAATAAGTGGACCTTGAGCTGAGTAAAAACTAGGGGTGTAACAGTTCTCTGTAAAAATAAATAAATAAATAAATAAATAATAACACGATTAATCTTTGTTCTAACAATACATATGGATGATCTGTTTTGCAGAGAAAACAAAGCATTAAATAGACATTCGGAGTGATAACATCAGCTAATGCACAGGGTTTGTTGCCTGTCTCGTTCTACAAGGACACAACCACACTGCTAGATGGTGGTGTCGGCAACAGGAACAAAGCATACCAGAAGACGATGCTTGTTTATCTCTGTACATACACCCAGTCTGCAGCAATGTTAATGAAAATTCTGATGTTTATCATACTTTCTAAATTTTCTAGTACCGGTACTTTAAGAATGGCAGAGTTTTGATAAAAGAAATATTTACCGATTTGCATCGGTGTGTGACGGCATGTTTGCATGCAAAAATTGAGTCTCTAATCCTCACTGCATTTATTTGATCAAATAGACAAAACAGTAATACTGTTAAATATTATAATTTAAAATAACTGTCAGTAGCTGGTCCACTTTTCAGTCCAGTTAGTGTAACATGATCCTTCAGATATCACTCTAATATGCTCGAAGGAACCTTTTTTATTATTAAAAATAAAATTGAAAACAGCTGTATATATATATATATATATTCAGGATTTTTTGATAAATATAAAGTCCAAAAGAACAGCATTTAACTAGAAAAAAATGATAAATTTTCACTGTTACTTTATCAATTTCTTTCAAACTGACCCCATAAAGTTATCTCTCAATGTCAATGATACTGATAGTATACCCTATGGGAAATAGGCTCTTGTGTCTGTAAGCACACACATTTAATAAATACACCTCTACAAACCACAGGATGCTGCACACAGGTTATCTACAAGCTAGATGAATAAGCAGCGAGACAGAAGTACTACAGGTGATGAAAAAAGCCCTCCTATTACCGTATAGCTGTGCAATCTGTATTGTATAAAGTTCATATTTAAATATAAGGTGACTTGACTTGTAAAAATTCACACACGGCTTTTTTCTATTATTTTACTTAGTTCCTTGAGGTTCATCTGATCAAGAGGTTCAACCCTCATTCTAACCCTCTCTCTGAAATTATTGGTTATTAAGGTGAGGCTACTTTAAGGCTTGTCAGTAAAATTGCCAGTTTTATGATTGTTAAAGTCACAGCATAGAAAATAATGAAATGAACTGGCATTTGCATACTGTACACAGCTTCAGTGATTATAATGGGTTGTATTTGATTTTTAATTTACTCAACCCCATGTAGAAGAAAGAAAGACATGGACATCTTGGATGACATGGGGGTGAGTAAATTATCAGCAAACATTTTTTTTAAAAGTGAACTACTCCTTTAAGTGACTGAACGCCAATGGCCTTGTTAGTTGAGGTCATAGTGGTAGTCATGAAAATGTGTCACTTGCCTGTGTGATGTCACATGTCCCACATCATCTAATCAAACCATTTTTGAAGCTTGGTTACATAAAATGCTTTTTAATGAACTTTGAATCCTAAATAATGTTGTTTCAATGGTAAAAAAATACCCTTATATGTCAAAAAAAAAAATTCTCATGCAATCACCCTTTTAAGATTTTCCAAGAATAGCATTTCCTGCTATTCCATGGCTTTACATGACTGAGGAAACCCTGCAGGTTGCTTTCCAGCTGTTTATGCTAGAAAGCTTCAGCACACATTTATTAAGACTGGATTGGAAAATGTGTGACCATCGCAGACTTAAGAATTTTTCTTTTAAAAGGAACAACTGCAAACAGGTTTAGAACAACATGAGGGTGAGTAAATGACGACTGATCATCTCTTTAGGCCCTCAGATAATTCCAGCAAGCAAGACAATAATAAGCTCTTTTCTATAATCTGATTTCCTTGAAAAAAACTGAGAACAGACTGAATAGTTGGCTATACAGAAAAAAGTGCATTTAAAAAAACAACGGCTTGAATCAACAATGAGGTTACTGATTTAGTTTATTTGGTTGCAATGAGTGTGGTTATTGTCATAAGCCTTGACTCATTTATGACAAAGACATTATAATCTAAAGGAAGCACTTCTCTGAAAGGATGTCATTTTGGTAACTGCGTAAAGCAAGTTTCCGATCTGCATAACCCACAAATGCATTGATGCTCAATAACATTAAAATAAATCTAATTATAATAATTGATAATTAAATTAGGCAGAATTCTTGGTAATAAACCACTTCCTATCCTCAATAATTACACAAACAATAGAATTTTTTAAGTTATGTTTCAAAACCAGCAGGAAGTGGATTGTGTAAATTGTGAACCTTTTGTTTTGACCGATACACTAAACATTTTGATGCATGGTCTCCAATGCAATTGTCAAAGCTAGAATTAAGATTTCACGGTAAAATATTAAATTAGAAACACTACAACAAGTGTACATTTTATTAGGGCAGTGCAAAGATTAATTGCAAAACACAAACTGTTGCTCGCTGTGTATAATTATTTTGTATATATAAATACACACACATGCATGTATACATTTAAGAAAATGTCTTATTCATATATATATATATATATATATATATATATATATATATATATATATATATATATATTCACACAGTATTTATGTGCAAATATTATGTGCATGTACACAGCACATGCACATTTATTATGTAAACACAAACTTTTATTTTGGATGCAATTATTCGCAATTAATCTTTGCACGGCCCAACGTTTTATCATTAAATTCTTAAACAACTCAAAATTGGATTTCATTTGATGAGTTATTTCAGACGGTGAACGTTGAAAGCAAATAAAACATTCTTGATTTTAATCAGCGATGAAGACAAAAAACATTTCTTTTTAAGCTTTCTGGTTTAAATATATACCCTACAACATTGGCAAGACTGACAGTGTAATAGGATTCTAGAAGTTAAAAGACTGTCCAAGATAGCAAATTGATATTTATTTAAAAAATTATTAAAAAAAAAAAGACTAGTTCATATCAACTTAATTCAAAACTCCTTATTTTCAGTTAATGCTAATACTGCCCGTTACCATTAAATATTTCATATTTGCCTTTTAGCAGCAAATTGTCCTTTTTTTAATGTCCAACCTTGTCCTTAGACAGTCAAATGATTAATTGTGATTAATCGCATCCAAAATAAAAGTTTGTGTTTACATAATATATGTGGGTGCACACTGAGTATAATTTATTATATATATAAACACACACGCATGCTTGTATATATTTAAGAAATAAGTTCATGTATATACTGTATATAGATTTATATATAATTTATATTATATATAAATACTTTATATATAAATATTTTTTTCTTAAATATACATGCATGTGGTTGTATTATATATATATATATATATATATATATATATATATATACACACACACACACACACACACACACACACACACAGTGCACCCACTTATTATGTAAACACAAACTTTTATTTTGGATGTGATTAATCACAATTAATCGTTTGACAGCCTTCTTGTCCTCCAAATAAAATTGTCTTAAATGGCAAAGCCCCAGGAAATCCCTCCTCTACTGACACACACTGAAAATGTACAGCGTAAACCTACTTAATAAAATATAATAATACTCGTCCAGTTTTGCACCCTACTAAATTACTATTTTTTATTGGCAACAAGAGTATTAAGAAACAATGTCCTATATTACCAAATAAAGTTTCTGTGAATGAAACTTCTACTCCACACAGAAGACAATTTAGCCCATGTTCTCTGTTTCGGGAAACCTTAAAAATAACCACCAACTACTTTTGACAGTATTTTGTCAAAGTCACAGTCACTAAGAACTCTTCATAACTACAGTATAACAACAAATAACTGACCGATCACTAGCAATCCATATCGTGATTAAAACAAGACTACACGAACACAGGACAGGTGGGGGAAACAATAACATCAAAATTAACAACAATAACAGAAAGCAAAATTAAATGTCTCAATGCAGGACAACTCAAACCTAAGACATCACTCATGTAAGTACTAGGTAAACATAACGTTACACGAACTTCCTACTAAAACATACAGAAACTAAAAGTAACAGGCCATAGTAGTCTATGGTTGGGTCTCAAAATCTTGTGTTTTGCAAACACACAAAGCATTCAGCCTCAACACAAATATTCAAACGTTTCTATGATGCCCAAAAATCAGTCTTGGTTGTCAGCTATCTATGTTATGAGACTAAGCAGTAATTCTGCTTTTATAAATGCAGCGGGTTAGCAGAAGTCCTAACTGTCAAAGTACCGAATCTCCAGCCTGTTAGCAGCCTACGCACCACCCACATGCTGCTTCACACATACGACCGACTCCTCTGACGGCCCATGGATTATTTTACACCTCATTTAAACGTTAAAAGAACAATTAACCGTATTAATATATCAATTCGGGTGGACGAGGGTTTATTCCACACCAGCAGGCAGACAGCTGTGCGGGTTAGCTGGCAGCTAGCTGGATCCATCACAACAATAACACTGTTCCTTTAACCGGCCTCCAAACTGCTCATTAAGCGCTTTCTAAATCAAATACCGAACGACGCTTCGTACAAAAGTCAATCACAGGAACAGGTCAGACGGAAAGCATCGCCGAACAGGCCTTTTATAAAGGCTTAATTGACAGTAATTTGTGGGTTACACTTTACCTTCAATTCCGCACTCTCCGCCATCTTGTTTCTCTGGCGCAAGCGTGATCTGAGCCTTGGCACGTGACCAGAACGTGTGTTTGTTCAAATGCTGAGGAATCCCTCTGTAGTTTAAAAATTAGCGCGAGGATTACGCGATTTCACGCTGCTTGAATGGAGTACATGGCATCACACACTAGCGACAAGATCTCCTGGAACGAAACGCACTCGCTAGATTATTTTATCCATCAATAAGATTCGTAAATGTGTTTATTGATTAAACAAAATGGTATATCAGCTACATTTCCCAGAAAATGTATCAGCAGATGAGTCATTTCCAAGAATCGGTTCTTTTGAACATTTTGTTTCAATGAACAAGAGTAAACAAATCAGATTGTGTCACGTGTTCGTGTTTTTACATTTCGAATTACGTGCACTCTGGCATTCCAATGTGTTATAGTCCTATTACATGCTGTAAGCGTTTTTCTTTAGCTATGTCGTGTCGAAGTAGTTGTGGCAGCCATGATTCACCTTGCAATGTTGAGCCCAAATATAAGCATTTACATTAAACGATGCTTAAGTCGTTTACAGCTTTTGTCTAAATTTCATTTCATCCTATTATTTTTCATTGTTAATTGTGCGATTTTTGTAAACTGGAGTTATTCGATGAAAAGTTCTGAGGACTCAAATTAACCTTTTGCTAACCAAAATTGTAACAGTGTAATTCCTATATATTTAAATACTCAGTAATATTAATTAACAGCATAGGGTTAGGGTTTGGTTGAGGATTAGTTGCTTGTAATTAAGCATAATTTACATGTACATATAGGCTACAAGGACACTGTAAAATAAAGTGTTACCAATATTTGTTTCAGTGTGTAATAACATGAACAAAACTAGGCACTTATTACAAATAGGCTATGAAAAAGGTGTCCACTAGATGGCAGACTCGCACCTTTTTTGCAGCTCCGTCTTAGTGGACGAATTCTTTCTTCTTTTTTTCTTTTTTTTCGACATATTATTTTTTCGACATATTATTTTATGTCGTTTCTTTTTTAAGTGTTATCATTATTATATAGTTTTACTTTGTTTTTTTATTGTGCATTATTTGTTTATTTTAAATAAAGTCATGATTATTGGGCACCTAATAATTCTGCTCATCTGTGCTGGATAATTGCAAAAAAAAAAAAAAAAAAAAAATTTACTGATAAACCACTAAAGATGGAATAGGTTATTTTTGGGGAACACAGCAGGGTTCAGACTTCCAGATGCAGAAGTCTACAGCTTGAGAAATGTGACTTGAACACTAATACTATCTGCTCAAATTAATTTATGTGACCTATCAACATCCTGAAGGGTTAAAAATAGTAAGGCTCTAGAAACCTTTAATAATGAATACAACTGACTAAAATAGTAGCCTAGTAATTATGAAGGAAGAACATTTATTTTTACCATTACTAAACAACTTGAGCTGACATGGGGCCGCCACATATCTTGAAGTAAGGCTGCATGTTTTATGGAAGTTGATGGGCTAAGAGAAAAGAATCAAACAGCATCTTATCTCCAAGGTTGTTTTGAAATGATGAGAACTAAAAACTATTTCTACTCTAAAGTAGCTAATAACTTTGAATGTATACAAATCAGTAAATCAAATATAGGTCATCCGGGGTACTTTTCACCTTTGAATATTCTCTTTTCAACTAGAGTTTTTCGCATATTTTGCAATTGCCTCGATACCTACCAAATATAAAACCCAACAAAAGGCATAAAGAAATGCAAAAGCTGGTTAACTCTTGATTATATAATAATTTTTGTAAGTAAACATGTTCAACTGAAAGTCTTCCTGCAGCTCAATAGCATGGAGCTTGCAACACCAAATGTCATGGTTTCGATGGATAGCAAGAACTTATTAATATATATCCTAAACGTTGAATGTAAATATCACCAACACTCAAAATTTAGTGATTTTTGTTGTCATTACTCAAAAACCCACAAAAAGTTAATTAAACTTAAAATTCTAAGGCAGAACGAACACGTAATAAAAAAAAGTATAATATTATTAGTTATGAAAACTAATTGCAGCATAGTATTTTTTTTTTACAGTGAATGAACAAAAATGAAAGGGAATAAAAGGCAGAAAATTGTAAATCCACCCCTATGAATACATTATGTACAAAATAAATTAGCTAGAAATTCAGAAAAGTATATTATATTGATGACAATAGTGGTTGTATTAGTTTCCCCATAACTCTGAATTTCGGAATATAATTTCTAAAACTTTTTGATTTCTGCAATGATCAAAACTGTCATAATGATAAATATTAAGATTTTGATATTTGTGACTCACACATTATGCAAATGTAGCTCATTGTTATGTAAATAGATGAAATAAAGACAACCTCAAACAAGATCATTTAATCCACATTTTTAGGGCTGCCAATTTAAAGTGCTTTACATCAATAATATACAAATATGCAGATGAGGATAAACAACCGACATGGACTTGGAATAAATAATATATACAAAAACATTATTGTTGCATCTAATTTAACAAAATCTTCTAACTGATCACAAAAAAAAAAAACATATACATAACAAATATATGCATTGCACATAGCCACTTATTACCAGTGATTTCTACAGCTGATGATAATAATGTTTAAGTGGGATGACATTTTTTTTTTAATAATGCAATTTTCTAGAACTTTATATAAATTATACAGTACATACAGTGACTCTGAAAACACTCCTTTGCAAATGAAAAATGACTTCATTACAGTGTATAGGCTAAAATACTACAATACACACTTGCTTATTCCAGGTCTAAAGGTTGACAGTGTTTTGCAGAGGAAGAAAAGTAAAGTATTTATTTGACACAGCAGTATTTCTAAGGAACGTGTACGTCTTGAATAGGTGTCCATCAAGGTGGTAGAAGAGGAGACTTGAAGGTGCAGGTCCCGGTGCAGTGACGGGGAGTCAGCATCTTACACGAGAAATGGTGTAGTGCGTCGTGAGCTTCTGGGAAAAAAGGGAATGAGTCGTTTAAAATAAAAGCGGCATACCATTATGTGTTGGTGTGTGTGTGTGTGTGTATCATGTGTTCTAGGACGATAATTGCTACAGTTCAGTGCGGCTCAAATCTGAAATCATATATAAACGGTCTACATATGAACAAGAGTTATCAAGGTCGCACTTTTGAATATGGTGACACTGTGCCTGGATACTTCCTTAAGTCTCCTGAATGCTAATATTTGCTTGCCTTTGCCAGAATCGGTTACCTTTTAACTTCTGCTGAATAGCATATCGTATCTTTCTCTCAAGATCCAACTCGCTGCACAAAGTGTCTGTGCAAGAGACATAAAGGATATCTCAGGTGTGGGTTTCCCCCTCTCAACTAAACTGGTTCACTTTTATGCATGCACTCTAAAAAATGTTGGGTTGTTTTAACCCAATTTTGGGTCAAATATGGACAAACTCAAACATTGGGTTAAAAATGCCATTTAAAAATGTAACCCAATGGCTGGGGTGGGTTTGTCCATATTTGACCCAAAATTGGGTTAAAACAACCCAGCATTTTTTTTCTGGAATCCAACACCAGTTCCTTGTCTATGCAACTCTCTTATGTGGCAAGGGAAAACCACAGAAACATCCAGCTCAGTAGCTTATAAAGAGACTGAACAAACTCTTGTGAACTCCAAAAAGGAAAATGCTGGGTTGTTTCAACCCAAATTTGGGTCAAATATGGACAAACCCAAATGTTGGGTTAAAAATGTAATTAAAAAAAAAAAATACAGTTGAAAGTGAAAGTTGAAGTTGGGTTAAAATTTGAAATGACATTTTTAACCCAACATTTGGGTTTGGGTTTGTCCATATTTGACCCAAATTTGGGTTAAAACAACCCAGCGCTGTTTAGAGTGAAGTTTTGTGTTTTGTTGTTTCATTAAGTACAGTTGTGTGAAGTCGAACGGTTACCTCGAACAATCTGGAGTTGCTGCACCATTTCCTCTCTGTAGGAAAGCTCTCTTTTCATTTGGTCTTGAAAACTGTCTAAGAAGAAAATGTGACCTAAATTAAATATCAAAATACATAATGCGATGTATGCACAAAATCAAAAATGATACAGTGCTTTTGTCTGATTTACACTGTAAAAAAATGCTGGGTTGTTTTAATCCAATTTTGGGTTAAATATGGACAAACCCAAATGTTGGGTTAAAAATGTCATTTAAACATTTAACCCAATGGCTGAGTTTGTCCATATTTGACCCAAAGATGGGTTAAAACAACCCAGTGTACCCTGCATTTCATTTCTTTATGTGTATATATTTATATGTGAAGCTGTTTTATGTATTTTGTTTCTTAAAAAAATGTACTTTTTGCATTATGTTTTAAAATTCTGTACAGACATCTTTTGGGGTAATAACATTTAATAGCATTATGCATTGAAATCTGACTGTATTCATATCACTTTTTAAAAGATATGCTCAGTTTGTGCTCATGAAAAGCCATCCAACTGTTCCCAAGCATTACATTCAACCAACTGACCACAAAATCTTTTCAATGTCATGAATTTTGACAGAATTGTCAGTGTAATGCAGAACTCTTCTTACTGAGCTTTGATGGACTCTTTGATGCAGCTCTTGATAGACTCCCTACACATGACAAAATGAGTCGTTAACTGTGAGGTTTTTATACAGCTATTTAATTTCAAATGGACAACTAATCAGCATTTTAAAGGTAATTCGTAATCCATAGTTGTTAAAAATGAATGATATTCAAATATAAAGTATTTTTTTAATTGGTCACAAAGTTACAGTTCTTATAGAGCATTGTATAGGCTAGGGTCCATAAGTTAAGATTAATTAATGCATTAACTAACAATAAGCAAGACATTTGTTAGTGTGAATTAATCATTAGTTCATATTAAACATTAGTTAATAAAAATTCAGCTGCGCATTGTTAGTTCTCATTAGCCAAGGTCCATTAAATAATATAGGCTAAATAGATACTACTTTTGATTGTAACAATGTTGAAATGAATATTATATACAAATGCTTTAGAAATATCTTTCCTTACAAATTTAAAGTGTTACCTTCAATTTATCATTGCTTATTATTGTAGCTAATTTGACC